GGGCCCTGTCAAGCCTGTGCCATTCCTGGGCGGGTGGGCTGCTGCGGCGGCCCTTGCCCCGTGCAATCGTCGTCGATGAGATCAGAAAATCGAGGCCAGACCCAGCAGGGGTGACGTAGCATCGGCAGTGCTGCTGCGAATGGGGGCGCGCTGGGGGTTGCGGTGGGCCGACTAGCTGCCCTGATTTGAGCCACGCCACGCCCCAAGGCGGGCCATGCAGCGCCGCAGACCAGGGGGGTCCGTGGTCCGTGATGCGCGCTCCTGGTGTTGTGGCCGGGTGTCGGCTTGTGGGCTGGGCATTGCGCGGCGCCGCGCTGGGAAGGCGAAGGGCTGGGCACTCTGGGCACGCTGGGCATCTTGGCGGCCCAACGTCAGAGTGGCCACACCAGAGCTGAAAAGCAGGGAACGACAGGGTGTCGTGTGGTGTTTCCAAAAATTGGCAGCCCCGAAGGCAAGGCAGGGCTGTGCTGTGCTGTGCTGTGCTGTGCTGTACCGTGCTGTGCCCGCCGACGGCCCTCCTCTCCGTCTCCGCGGCTGATGGACCATGTATGATGAATGATTGATGCTGACTGCGAGCTTATTTCCGTAATAGGCCATGCGTGAGCACCACATGCTGCCGACCGCCCACGTCTCGCGTGACGTAAACTGTCCCGAGCCGAACCTGAAGCCGCGTTTTGGTGCGACCTTGGTGGGCAGGCAACCCCTGTGCCGAAGCCATCAATCGACAGTTCAAGCGTCGCGACACTGCCAGGAAACGGGCAGAAACAGGCACCAAGTTCGAGAAGCTGCGTCCCGACCGCCGTGCGCACCGCGAGCCGTTCGGTGTTGTGGCCCCGTCCTCTGCCCTCTGTTTCTGTTCTGTTTCTGTGGGTGGCTGACGACGATGGCGGGTCCCGTTTGGTTTGGGATCGCTGCATCATGCTAAATCGGGCCATGTTGGTGGTGCGCATGCGCGCTGCCGCGAGTCTGCGACACCCGGCCCGGCGTCGTGGCTATTCGTGATTGCGCTTCATCGTGGCTCAGACCATCATCTTACTCGGCAGCCAGCTCTTCAGCTGGAGCCGTTTCGCCTTGTGATCCATTTTGGGGCTGCGCCCAGTCTGCGGCAGCCAGTGGGACAGACCCTCGGCCGCCAGCGTCTTGGGCAGGGTCTGCTTCAGCGTCGCTGCCACGAGGGAGCGGTCTTTGGCGTAGGCCTCCGGCCACGTATGGTGCAGCGGGGACCCCGACATGGCGTACGCGTGGTTGTAGTCGGTCGCGGGGAAGATGTCGAGCTTGAACTCTTTGGCGTCGGCAGCCGCATCGGTAGGGTCGGCATTGGTGTCGGTCGAGGCTGGGGGGTCGGCGGCGCCCGCGTGCCCGCTCACGACGGCAGGCTGGTCTGCATGAAGGCTCTGAGGGTCCTCGAGATCCGCAATGCTGACATCGGCTCGCGCGCGAGGCTGAGGCAGCCTGTACATAAGGGGGCTGCTGGCGACGAGCCTGGTGGCCGTGGCGGCATCTTTGGTGACGGACACAAAGTTGGAATGATAGCCCTGCGAAAAGTCAGTGTCAGAGAGTCGTCGCAGCCGCGCAACACTTTGCCGCGCAAAGGGCCTGGCTCATACCGGTGCCATGCGAAACACGTCGACGCGGCCAAACTGCTCGAGCACCTGGAGGACGGAGCGCCGTTCGGCAAAGGTCATGGGCGTCGGGGACACGAGCACTCGGATGGAGCGCTCCCGCATGGAGCTCCGCGCTGCCCGGGCGGCGAGGGACATGGTGTGGCCGGCAAAGGGGCGTCTTGGATCTGTCGAGAATGCAGAAATGGTGCTCTGGATAGGGTCGGGAGTTTGGATCGCAAGACCCGGACAGCTCGGCGAGCAGCAGTGCTGTGTGCAGTGGCAGCCACAGCTTCTACCTAGGTAGTTTTGCCTGGCGGGAGCTGGCGGCGATTGAGCGCGCCCATTGGGCAGGCGCACCACAGAGCGGCAACCACAGCGGGCAATGGTGGGGCAACAGCTCCCGCCACTCGCTAAGGTAGCCTTGCGCACCGCAGTGAAGCCCGCGTCTCGCGAGGCTGCAGCGTCCAACCTTCAACCTCTATATCTACCATAGCCTGCGTCCAGTACCTTACCTTGCACCGCGTCTCGACGTGCCAGCCCGCCGCGCGCGCTTTCCAGATGCAGCTCTAGCCCGGCCCGTGTGCCGTCTCTTCTGCTGGGCGACTGACTCCTGCCTCGTTCGTTCTCCGGTCGGCTTCCTAGCCAGCCTCACGACTCCCTTCCAAGATTCCTTCGGCTCCGAACACCAAAGCTCGACGACAGCACCTGCCGACATGTCGACCCCGACGCCCATGAAGCACGCGCCCTCGCAGCAGGGCCGCACGCCCTCACAGTTGGCGGCCGCCACGCCTCCCGTGTCGACGCCCTTTTCCAATCCCGCACACGCAGCCTTCTCCCCGCGAGGGCCCAAGTCGTCGCCTCAGCAGGTCAAGAAGTCGCCCGCAACGTCAGCCCTCATGGCGCAGCCAGCCATGGGTGCCTTTAACTTTGACAGCCCGTCAACGGCCGCCGCCATGGGCGCACTGGGCATGGGTGGCGCGTTCGATATTGGGCTCGATAACGGCGTCGTCCCCGGCCTCGAAGCAATAGGTGCCGCCCTGGCCACCGAGGACGACAAGCTGAAGCGCCTGGATACCATTCTGAAGATTATAGATGTACGTGCCCCCGATGCAACTGCCCAGTGTTCACGACGCTGACGTGAAGCAACAGAAAAAGGGCCTTGTGAGCGAGGCCGGGCTTGAGCGCCTTGCTCAGCAGATTGGACTCGAGCTCCTATCCGAAGAACAGACTACCTCGGACGGCCGCAAGACGAGGACTCTCGCCATTGCCGGGTCTGCAATTGCCTTGGACATTGTCCTCGACAACAACATCGTGCAAAGTACCTCGCTCGCCTACCACGGGTCAGCCTCAGCCGTGTCGGAGCACATGGATGACGCCGCCCAAATACTGCTTCGTGACTTGCAGCTTCTCCCAAACCAAAGCCCGCTGACCAAGACCCTGGAAAGCTTTGCCTCCAACTTTGGGCGCCTGGCAACCCTGGACAAGCTCAGCATTGTCCCCGGACTGGACTGTCACGAAGCGCTGTCGGGCATCTACGTTAGCCTGGAAAGGCTATACAATTGGGACCTGTCGAAGCTGCGCGAACAAGCGAGCATGGCGGGAAAATCCGATAGCTACCTTGCGAACATGGCCATGTGCACGCGGCACGGTCGCCCTGTTATGCATTCACGGGGCAAGGTCGGCCTGGCACTTCAGTACTGGAGACAACTTCATCTGGCTCCCCCAGCCTCCGATGCCACGTCCGCCTTCGCAGAGGAGCAAGAAAAGGTCTGGTCCTTGATGCTTGGGTGCGCGCCCATTGAAGGCATAGGTCTCCCTCCCGTCAGAGTCTCGGACAACTGGATCTCCAAGGCCATTGTCAACGACGAGCCATCGCTGGACCCGAGCAGCATCCCCTTGGACTGGCAGGAACCCGAAAACATATCTCTGCCCCAGTCCGAGGAGAACAAGGATGCAGGCATGGAAATGCTGCATCCCGATCTCTCGACGACCAGGGTGCCGCGGGTCATGTTCACCGTCACGTTCGATCCACCAGTCGTGCTCCCGCAAAACGACTGGGCTCGCCTATGGATCTGCGCCAACCTTGATGCGCCACACATGGAGATGACCAGTAGGCTCACCATACCGACGTTTGACAGTCTTCTGTTCCCCCTACCTGGCGGAGTTAAGTTCGATCCTAGTGAGGTCCGGACACTGTCGCGTCGCCGCGAGGTGTCTGTATACAGCCGAGACGGCACGGCCAGCACTCGGGTGCACAAGAACATGCTGTACATCTACAAACCCATATACGCGCAGAGCGTTACGGAGATGCCATTCTCCCATCCGCGGCAGCTCATCGACATGATGCCCCTGCTGCGACAATACGCATTTGTCTCCACGCTTCTCTACAGCACCTTTGGGCCCAAGACCGAACCCCCGCCTCCGGATATGGAGGAGACAAGTCCCAAGAGGGAGCAGGGCAAAGAAAAGTCGAAAACGACCACGACCAGAGATCAGCTGGCCAACTTTTTCGGCGACGGCGAGGCCGCCGCTGAGACGAGCAACGGCGCCAGCTACGAGACAGACTGCGACGCTAAGCTGGACGTCATACTATGGGTCCATCCTGCACCGCACCTGCAGGTCGTCTTTCCGCTCGACCGCTTGAAAGCAGACATTACCCTCAAGATTCGTGAGGGCGGAACGGTGGAGATTGTCGAGGACAACGTCACCACGGCTGGTCGTGGTGAAGCACTCGGCAAGGGCAAGGGTAAGGAGTTGACGAGAGAGACCCTGGGCAAGGCTCTGGAGTACTTTGAGGACTTGGGCAAGTGGGTAGAGTGGATTCGCACACGCTACTGATGCCGCGGAGTTGTGAAGAGTCTCTTACTTTGTATGTTTACGATACCCCATTCTTATCTCACGCCGCTGCCGCGATCCGACATGGCCCGTCCAGGGTGGTCAGACAACAATGCGCCGAATGCTGGAAGTCACCAAATATGCCGTCTTGCCTTTGAAAGCAGCATCAGTCAACCCAGGTCTTAGACAGCAAGCAAACATTACAGTCATCCGCGGTGATATTTTGCTGGTGTCGTTTGCGGCGGTGCTTTGACCAGCATTTCACAAACTCTCAAAGCCAACCTCAACAATCAGTCTTCGTCTCACGTCCGTGCCTGTCCCCATCACAAACGAGCCAGCTCGCCTCCAAAGAAGTATAAATCGACCGCCGTTGTCATGTTGTGTCTTTATGTGCCCCACGACAATACCGGCGGCAGAAGAACCTTGAGTAGAAGAAGCCGCAAGCACTCGTATAAAACCTTGACGACAAAGCATCGTGAGCTCACCTTTGGGCCGTGTCAGCAGCAACACACATGACATTCGGCAGAACTCTTGCTGGCCCTTTTTCCCTTTTCTGCTCGCTGAGTACTAATCACAGCGAGACCAGGCTCAACAAAAACAGTAATACGAAGCGCAGCCAGGGTGTTGTTACACAGACCACCATCATATGGCGGACGCGTCGAGGTCCAGGCCGCGCAGGCTGGGCAGGAGGCTCCGTCGCGTGGCCAGCAGCGGCGGCGCGTCGCTGCGCACCGGCATCGTGCGCGCGCGGTCCACGTCCCGTGCGGCGTTGGACGAGGCGGTCGGGGCGCTGCGGCCGGTGGCGGCGGGCATGGCGGCGCGGAGGGGGTGCTGGAGCGGTGGTGATGGGGAGGGGGGGATGGGGCCGCGGCTGCAGCAGCGGAAGCAGCAGCATCCTCATCATCAGCGGGGAGGCGTGAAACAAGCAGAAGCGGTAGCGGTAGCGGTGCGGACGGGGGAGGAGGAGGAGGGGAGGGAGGAGGGGGTCGTGCCGGAGAGGGAGACGCTCGCGAGTAGGGTCACCAAGGATATGATTTCGTGGCCGCTGGAGACGCCGGGCAGGGATAGTGCCACCACTACGACGAACACAACAGATGGCGGGGATGCGACGCAGAAGAAGAAACGGCACGGCTTCGTGCGGCGCAAGGAGGACACACATAAAGAAGTAGGAAGTCCACCGCCGAGTCCACCCCCGACGCCCCGCCCCCTGCCGACGCCGCCTCGCACGCCGGTTCCTCAGCAGCAGCAGCAGCGGCGGCAGCAGCAGGACGGCGTGGGCTCGGTGCCGGCGTGGAGGGACCAGGGGCCCGAGAAAGGAGGCGATGTGGAGGAGGATGGGGTGCTGTCGTCGTCGTCGCTGCTGCTGAGCGTCATGATGGCCAAGGTGCAGAACCCGCGGCGCAAACCGCTGCCCCTGCGGCTATCCATCGCGCTGCCCCCGCGCTTGCGCTCGAGTATCACGACGACCATATCCGTGTCCCCGTGCTCCTCCTCCCCATCCTCCTCAGCATCCCGATCCTCACCCTCATCCCCATCTCCATCCAGCGCCACGCCCTCGCCGCCCTCGCCGCCGCCGTCGACATCGTCGTCAGTGCGCGCCTCGTCGTTTCCCCTGCCGCCTCAGCAGCTGATGAGCAGCAACTCTGCGGCGGACAAGCGGCCACGAGGCAGAGGGCAATGTGGCGCCGCCGCAGGAGCATCAGCAGCAGCAGCAGCAGCAGCAGGGGCAAAACGGGGGAAAGCAGGTACAGGCAGACAAGGAGGCAAGCTCAGCCCTCGCCCAGACTCGACCACCCTGCCGCGCTCCCCGTCGTCCTGCCGGCACTCATTCCCCCCGCGGACCAGCTCCCTCGACCCGGAGCGCTTCTACGCCCTACTGCAGCGCCATCGCCGCCTCCCATATCCGTCTCATTACGGCAGCCCGCTCGCCAACACAGCAGCAGCTTCTACGGCACCTGGCACTCACCCTGACGATGGCGGTGTTGACGGTGAGGACCAGAAACGCACCGCGGTGGTAGGTGCAGTACAATCGCACTCGCAGTCGCAGTCGCAGACGCAGTCACAGAAGCAGCCGCAGACGCAGACGCACTACTGGCTCTCCGTCGAGGACGTCCTCGCCGGCCTCCCGGGGCGGCACCACCTGCCCGCGGGCCACTGGGAGGGCATGCTCGAGCTGGCGCACGCGGTGCGGGTGGTGGACGCGCGCAACAGCGGGTACGACTGGGTGCAGCTCGTGACGGGGTGGTGCGAGGACGAGGGGGAACAGCGGGCTGGGCTTGCGCGGTGACGAAGACTAGGGAGAGCAGGTGGAAGGGGACGCGGCTGTTGTAAAACCCACCGACTTCAGGCGGGCCAACTCGAACAGTGCTTCGGGCCTGGGACATCAAGACTTTGGAATAGAGAAAGCGAGCAGAGGTATCAAAGGCAGGGATAAAATCCTTTATTCCTGCCTGCCAGTTAGACCACCAAGCCACCTCACGTACATCACAACATCTCCCGAGAAAGAAACCAAGTTGCATCAAAATGTGTAAATGAAAAGATTAAGCCAGTCCACATCACATGGCAAATTCCCAAGATTTTATATCCAAGCCCAACCCCGTTTCTCTAGAAAAGCGCTATCTCGCGGGGACAAAACTGTGCGTTCTAAAGACGCCTTCTCTACATCATCATGGCCACAACGGCGCCCAGGACGGCGAGACCGCTGAAGCCCACCTTGCCAGCGCCGCCGACGACGACCGGGGGCTTGCAGTCGGGGCCCGTGCAGCCCTCGTTACCGCCGGGCGTCTGGACCGGCGGGATGCTGCCGGTCGGGGCGACGCTGCTGCCGCCGGGAGGGCACGCGGGGCCAACGCAGGGCGCGGGGGCCGTCGCGGTGGGCTTGTAGATGCCCGTCGAGTTGCGGCCGCCAGTGGGCTGCGGGATGGTGTGCGTCTCGAATGTGGCGGGGATCTGGCTCGTGGGAGGAACCGGGACCGCAGACGAGACGGGGACGGAGCCAGGGCCGGTAGGAACGCCCGTCTGCTCGCCGGGGCAGTACGTCGTCGTGCTGACCTCGGTAGTGACGTGGCCGATGGGGCAGTTGGTCACGGTCGGGGCGCAGCTCGTGATGGTGTAGACCTTGGTCACCTTGGTGGTGATGGTCGTCGGGCCCTGGCTGTGGCCGGGCTTGTTGGTCTGCGCCGGCGTCGTCGGCTTGTGGGAGTCCGTCTTCGTAGCAGTGACGGGGCACACCGTCGTGTAGAGCGGGATCGTCTCGGTCGTAACGTAGCCGCCCGTGGGGCAGTGAACCGTAGGCGGGCACTTGGTCACGGTGCGAACGGTCGTCGTGTAGACCGTCGACGTAGTCATCTCTTCCGAAGAGCTGGCACTGACAGAGGAGCCAGCGGACGGGCTCGAAGTAGCCGACGGCGCGGGGGTGGTCGTAGGAGTGACGGGGCACACGGTCGTGTACAGGGGGATGGTCTCAGTAGTGACATAACCACCCGTGGGGCAAGGGACCGAAGGCGGGCACTTGGTGACCGTGCGGACAGTCGTCGTGTAGACCGTTGAGGTGGTCATCTCAACCGAAGAGGTGACGGCAGGCGAGCTGGTCACGTCGACGGCCGAGGTCGAGGAGCCCTGGGACACGGTAGGAGAAGGAGTCGTGGAGGAAACCGCCGAAGAGCTGGGCGTGGTGGTCTCCGTAACGGAAGACTGAACGCTTGAAGAGGACGAGGCAGAAGCCGTGGAAGCGACAGAGGAGCTGGATGTGGCCGACTGCGTGTTCGAGGACTGAACGCTAGAAGCAGACGAGACAGAAGCCGTGGAAGCGACAGACGAGCTGGATGTGGTCGACTGCGTGTTCGAGGACTGCGCGCTAGAAGAGGACGAAGCAGAAGCGGATGAGGAGACAGACGAGGTGCCCGACTGGTTGGCCTCACCAGGCTTCGTCGCCGGCGAGCCGGTCGTGGAGGTCGAGGTCGTCGCCGTGGTGAAAGAAGTTGTCGAAGAAGTGGTCGAAGAGGCGGTGGTCGACGAAGCCTTGGTCGAAGAAGGCGAAGTAGAGACGGCCGTGGACGAAGTCGTCGTGGAGGTCTTGCTCGTGGTCGTAGACGTCGAGGAGGAAGTCTTGGTCGTCGAGGTCGAAGACACCTTGCTCGTGGTCGAGGTCGTGGTCGGGGCCGGGGGCGCAGTCTTGAAGACGCGAATGTCCTTGATCTTGAAGAAGGCGTTGGTGAGCGTCTGGGGGTTGCGAGAAATGTAGGTCGAGCAGAGCTGCTGGCCGGTCGAGGCCGCGCAGCCACCCCAGTTGCCCTGGACGGCGTCACCGCACAGGGCAATGTTGAGGACGAGGCGCTGGTTCTTGAAGATGCCGTCGACGTCGCAGTTGTCGCTCCTCAGGCTGGCCACCGGCAGGCCCCAGGTGGAGGTGTCGACGGTCTGGGACTCGATGTTGGCGGGCTCCTTGCCAGACTTCCACGTGTAGAGCTTGATGGCGTTCTTGGTCCACTCCATGGCGAAGACACCGCCGTCCTGGGCGCCCCAGGGGCCGTTGTTGTCCGAGACAACGCAGCCCTGGTTCTCCCATTGCTGCGGCGGCCTCTGGTACTGGTTGTCGCAGTTGCTGGTAACGACGCTGCCCGTCTGGTTGACGTTGTCGATCGTGCACTTGCCGTACTTGGCAGCATTGCCCATGTGGAAGGCGGGCTTGTTGAGGGGGTCGTCGTTCCATCCCTCGAGGATGTCGACCTCTCCATTGAAGGGCCAGTTGGTGTCGTCAACGGTCCAGCTAGACAGCGGGTCAGGGGGCGTTTTGTCAAGGGGAATCACGAGCAACTTACAAAGCGGGCCAGACACCGCACGTGTTCTTAGGGAGGTGGTTGAACCTGCCAATGAACAGACCCTTGTTGAAGGTAGACTTGGAGTAGACCCTGACGCTGTCACGCCCGACGTTGTCGGCGAGCTTCGTCTTGGAGTCGACACCCAGGTACACCTCGCCGCCGCTCGTGGAGAAGAGGCCCTTCTTCTCAGCGTTGGCCCTGCTCTGGTAAACTACATGGCCGTGGGTAGGGTCCGGGTCCTATTGTTCGCGCGTGTTAGTGTCACGTCAGCATCGTTCGTTTCCCGCGGGCCCATACCGTGAAGAAGTCAAAGTTGTCAACAAAGTTGTTGGAGTTGTAGACATCCTGGAGCTGCCACCTGTCGGCGAAGACGCCACCGGCGCAGGCCAAGGCGGCAGCGCCAAGGCGAAGGAGTGTAGGAGACATTACGATACTTTAAAGAGAGACTGAAACGACGAAACGAGAAAGAGTGACTTGACGTGAAGGCACGTCAGAGAACGAATGTGAGGGCCGAAGCACCGGAATGAGTGACGTCCTAGAGTTTACAGAGTGCAAGAAGGAAGGGACAGGCAGAGCCACCAGACGAGGTGGACTGGTTTTGAGGCGCTGCCCGGAGCTGCCTCTTCGAATCCCACGATGGGTCCGGAGCCGCATCCCTCAAAGGCTGACTCGTCCATGGCCACGGCGGTCAACCGAGCACAGGGCTCATGGTACACCCCACTGGCTTACGGCCAGTCGGGTGAAGCTGTGAATCACATCTGCCACTCGTCCGGGTATTATTTTGGCACTAAGCCATCATGCGTGATCTCGGGCACCGTCCAATGGCTGCGTGGCATCCCAGCCAGAGCCAGCGGTGTTGGAGACCTCGACCAGGAGTTGCCGGCGACAAAAGGAGACCGCAGAGCCGGGCAGCGCAGTCCAGGCCCGGGGCGTGATATCCCATGTGGGTGCCACACATGGGGCTAAGGCGCCAGGACGGATGAGCGTATGGCCCAACGGCCCTGTCGTGGACGGATGGAGCCTAGCCAACTTGTTAACACCGCTGTGTTATAGACGAGAGAGGCAACCTCCGAAGGTCCTGCCCATGACGCGGTTGAGCCGCTTGCCGCTAATGCAGGAACATTGTTTGTCAAGGACGGCCAAGAGGCAGATTGCGCCGGTGGGATGCCGCGGCACCGTAGGAATTGGCCTTCAGCCTTTTGCCGCCGCGACGGCCGGACATTCGGGCAGAGCAGCTTGGACGCGTCTCTTTTCTCCTGAGATGTCCTGTCGGTGGCTTGGAAGCACGACCCCCCTATCCCAGCGTCAAGAGCCGACGCGATGGTCGTGCCACAGTGAAGCCATGGCTGTGGCGGACTCGGGCTATCGATTCTTGCTCCTCAGCTCTCCAGTTGGGGCCCAGGAGGAGCAGACCCGGCGAGCAGGGGTTCTTCAGTACCCGCCCATCCCCGCCGGGCGTCCGGTACCCCTGGTCGAAGCGCCTGTCGTCTTTCCACTTTCCTTGTCTGTGTCGGTCGGCGATCCGGCTGGGCCCGAACAAGTCTGGTCCGTTTTCCCACCAGCGACGAACCGCCCAGCGCTGGGCAGCGCCACCTCGTCTTGCGAGATTGGACCACGTTCTGCATCGTTAGCTTGGCGTCCGATGGCCGAGACGGGCAATGGCCGTAATGCTGCGTCAGTCGCGCTGCGTGTGAGGGATAATAGGCAGCGTGGTAAGTTTGCAAGAGGCCAGGATGGAAAACCGTCTTCGCTGGATGAAGTGCGCCTGGACGAAGACGGGAGCCGTCCAGCGGGAAAGGGGGTGCGCACGCGGCCGTGGAAAGGCACTGTGCCCACCTGCTCCAGCACAGCCCGTGGCGCCCCGGGAATGGCGGAGTGGCTGTCCATGGAGCCTGAAAGTATTGGCAGCGGGGGTTTGCCCACCTGGTGCCTGGGCCTCCGCCTGGCAGGTGCGCTGCGCAGCGTTCCTGCCCCTGCCAGAGCCGCTATTTTTATGGACCACATCTTCCCAAGTCCAGGGGTTGCTTGCTTTTTTAGTTGGCCTGTCTCTATGGCGGGTCCTTGTCAAAGTTCCGTCCTCCTCCTCCTTTGGCGGAGCGAGCCCCCCACGTTCGCCTGGAGCGGTGGATGCCGACGTCGCCAAGCCGTCAAGTTGTAATGAACCCTTTATGCGTCCGACGACGTTCTGACTAATTCTACGGCGGCCCTGATCGAAGCCCGGGGCCTTTCTGACTCGCTTCCGCGTCGAGGCGAGCGGCTGTTGTCCGACAGAGTGCCTGATGCGTGAGAGCCTCATGCGTGGGAGTGGCCGGCGACGATGTGCTGCGCATACATGCTTTGCAAGACCCAACCTCATCCCTCGTTACCAGAAAGCTGCGCCTCTGGTCCGGGAGGAGCCTCTCTCCCTCTTCCCATTCCTGCTGGGCTTGGCTTGGCGACGACGACGACATGTCCCATCCACAGATAGACTCATTGTCGTACCATCTGCGCCGCACACGTAATATTTAATGCTCCCGTGGAAAGAGGCGCGGTGTTTGATCTTGCTGGGGCCTGCGGGGGGGCCAACGTGACAATCTCTCCGAGGAGGCGAAGGCATGGTCTCCGCGAGGGCCACAGTTTATGGTTAAGTTCAGCATACTGAGTACGTATGAAATATGTGAAACTCTGGAGTACTGCATCGTGGTTCGCTCAGTCCAAGATACTCGTAGGGACGGACGTAAAGGGTCCCTCAGCAATTCATCCAGCAACGAGGTTCGGGACCCGACAGTGCCAGGTCAGGTTGAAGCCCAGAATACGACGGCGTTTCAGGGTCCCCGGCGATATTTACAGGGTCAACCCAGCCAGGTCCGTTACCTTGATACGAGCCCAGCATTCAAAGCCTTGTCGAGCTTTCGCTTCGCTTCACAGGGTGGCCGCCTCAGGGTCCCTAGTCAGGCCGGATTGCCGATACAAGTCCAGCATGCATAGCCTTGCAGAACTCTTCTCTCGCTTCGCAAAGGCGGCTTCAAGGTACCCGGTCAGACTCGCTCCTCAACACGAGTCCAGCATGCATAGCCTTGTAGAACTCCCCCATCGCTTCACAAGGGCGGCCTCCTGAGGAACGGACGGAGCCCCGTCGCAGCCTTCTGCTCCTTCTTGCCATCCACCTTGACCCGCCTCACCAAGAGCCACTCCCGGCGCTCAGCATCTTCGGCTCCCTCACCGTCGCCCTCTCCCACTCCCGCGCCGATGCTCACCGCGCACGCTCCCGAGTCCTCATCCACCACGACCCTCCGCAGGTGCGTCGCCCAGTCCTCGCCCGTCCCATCATCATGCGCAAACTCAACCATGACTTCCTCCCCCCCGGAGAAGCCCCGAGCGCCGCCGGCATTCCCGACGCCCATCGGCTCCACGTCCAGGAAGAGGATGCGCTTCTCGTGCCCAGCGTCGTTGACTGCGTGCGTCCACACCGAGCCGAACACGCGGGCCCGCCGCGCGAATTCTTGTCCTGACGTCCACGCGTCCCAGTCGATCTGCGCGTCCGCCTTGGTCACCTTGGGAGCGTGCGCCAGTGGCTCGCCCTGTGGCGGTGCTGATTGCTGCTCCAGGGTCCGGTGCGGCGGCACGTGAAGCCCGTCCCGTAGGCCTTGCACGAGCAGCTCGGCGCCTCGAGCTGCCGCGTCCTGGATGACCTCCTGGAGTGGAGCGTCTGGTCGCACGGGAATGCCAGGGCGTGGCGTCTGCGCGAGAATGGCGCCGTGGTCAAACTGCTTGTCATCTAGGGTCTGCAGAGTGATGCCAATGTGCGAGTCACCGCGCAAGAGGGCGTGATGAATGGGCGCAGGGCCTCGTAGACTATTAGTAGTTTTAGCATAAGTGCTGTTCTCGTAGTCCCGTAGACATACTCTGGCAAAAATGACGGGTGGACATTCAAGCCCCCATACTTGGCCGAGTTCAATATCCTCGACGGGACAAACAGCCCAAACGACACCACGACAACAAGGTTCGTCCCCTCAGGCAACTACTCAGTCCAACACAAACCATTAGCTCTCAGACTACCGACGAACACGACGACGATGATGAATGAAAAGGACAGGGAAGAGGAAAAGGGGGGCCGATCAAGGACGTACATCCCAGTTGCGAAACGTCTCCCGCTGATGCACCCTCAGCCCCAGCTCCTCCGCCACCGCCCTGCACGGCACCTCGCGCAGCGTCTTGAGCCCCCTCCCCGTGCGCCGCGGCGGCAGCACCATCACGTCGAGGGCCGACACGAGGGACGGGTCGCGCGCGCGCTCGGCGTGCAGGGCGCGCAGCGAGGCGACGCTGAAGTCGTCGGAGCCGCAGAAGAGGATGCGCAGCGGGTCGGACGACGACGCCCGGCGCTTCTGCTGCTGCTGCTGCTGCTGTTGTTCGCGACAGCATGGTGAGGATGAGGAAAAGGGCCGTCGCGGTTGTTCACACAGCTGGTGGGTGGTGGTGGTGGTGGCGAGGGTGAGGAGGGCGCTGCCAGCTGCTGCCAGGCGCGAGAGGGGGTGCTGGTGATGCAGCTGATGCGGGTGATGCGCGTGATGGAGGAGGCCCAAGACGGGCCGGATGGTGTGCGGCGTCATGTCCGGATTGTCATTCTGTCGCAAGTCACCGACTCAGCTTACAGTCACGCGCGGTTCGCAGCACAAATGTGCGGGTTTCCCAATGGCAATGGCTGAGTGAAGCTTGAAAACCGGCCGTGTTGAAATGTGTCGGACGTCGATCGTCAATGCGGTGACGTCGCGTTTAGTCCACAAGCACGCTTACATGCATACATCACCAATTCACCATCACCAGCTCAACCACCGTCGACGTCACAACACCCCATGCCAATCGCCATAAAAGTCGTAAATCGCCAGCTCACCATGCCGCGAGGCGTCGCTCTTATCCAATGCAAAGCTCGTAGTCCAGCTCCCACAGCCTCATAATACACTCCAATCGCACGCAACAGTCCACGTCTCTCCCTTGATGTCCACGTCCCACACCGGCCCGGCTACGCCCACGGCGCTTCCCACGCCCACCATGGCTCGCCGTCCGAGGCCCGTCAACTTGCCGTCACCTGCGAGTATGATGCTTCGCGACGGCGCCGTCGTCTCTTGCGCGGGGTCTTCGCCGCCGCCGATGCCGCCGATACCCCGTGGGCGCGCCCGGACAAGGTACATCCTGCGACCCGGGCGGACCTCCTCGACGAGGAATTCGCGTGACGGTCTGCTCCCACGGCTACCGCCGCTAGAATCAGCCCCTTGCACGTCGTGAGACTCCCATCCCTTGACCTCGGATAGCCAGCCCTGCAGCTCGGCGGCCAGCCCGCCGGGCACGTACCGCGCGCCCCTGCGCTGCGGCGAGAACGCGGCCGGTAGCCCCTCCCCGACCGCGTCGTCCGCGTCAGCGAGCGGTTTGAACCGCGGGGCGGGCCGGAAGACCGGCTGCTGCGCCCGGTCGCGGACGGCGCGGGTTCGGTCCCGGTTCGCGGTGCGCTCCGAGGGCGAGTGCCTGCTCTCGTCGGCGCTGTCGGGCAGGTCCATGTCCTCGCTCCCTGCGCGCGAAGAGCCATAAAGAGGATCTGGTTCTGCTGCTCCCTGTTCGAGGTGTCGGGTTAGAGGACTGGAGCCTGGGAGCGGTGATAATGAGAGCTTCCTCCTCTTTGCTTGTCTACCTTCCTGCGAGTCCTGCGTCGTGCCGTCCTGCTGCGAGTCCACGTCAATGATAGCATCCATCGATGCGGCATCTGGGTCCTCCTCGTTTGCCTGCGCCATGACATCGTCCTGCGAGGCGCTCACGACGCCGTCAGATTCCACTTCGATTGAGTCCCACGGGTGCGCATCCTCTTCGTCTTTGGGGATCACAGCGTCCGAATCGCCTTCAACCTCATCCTCGTCCTGTGCCCCCTCATCTTCTTCGTCTTCCACGTCGACCACATCCTCAATGTCGAGCCCCTTCCGCTGCGTCGACCGCAGCACAGACGACGATCCAAAGCGCGGCGTCGACTGAAACTGCGAGTGACTCGGCGCGCCGGGAGTCCGCTGATGCTGCTGTGGTTGCTGCTGGGACAACGGCGGCGGCGGCTGAGTCTGCGGCTGTGTCCCGCCACCGCGCTGCGTGTTCCTCTTGGCCAACAAGAAGCGCCGCGGCGCTGGCGTCTGCGACAACCAGTACGTCAGCCCCGTTCATTCTTTTCCTGGGCATGTAGTCCGCGTGCGCGCGGCAGTGCGAGCGAAGCCTCACCGAGGGCGGGGGATGCATGCAGGGAGCAACTCCAAGCTACATGGCCGCGACTGATGCGCTTTGACGGCCAGGCCCGGCGTGCGGGCAGGGTCACGGAAGCGAGATCTCAATCTAGTACTTGCTGGAAATAGCAAAGGTCGGGATGGGGCATGAGGGCGGAAGAGCACAGCCAACGTTCACGAGAGATGTTGTCGCTGGTCGCGCAGACTCCAGGGTGGATGAGGTAATGACGGCGCTAGCGGGACCTCGAGGACACCACCATGAGTCCACGACCCTGCTTGCAGCGCCTCAAGCTAGGGCAACCTGGAATTGGAGTCCTACAACACAGCATTTCTATAAAGATGATTGAACAGGCACGCGGCAGCGAGATTCAAGGCTTCATTTGATGATTTGAGTATTATTCTTCAGCATGCATTCGTGGGGCCACGTGGGCCATTCTCTATACATCAGGCGGATAACTATAAAAAGGAAACAATGCGAGCTTCATGCTCAGGCGCCGCGGGGGCAGGATGCCTTGTGCGTCTACTCCCCCCAACCGGCGATGCGGCCAGCGACGAATCGCACATGCCATGAAATACCAAAGAACCCTAACAAGATAACGCCGGGCTGTGCATTTTCCGTCTCTGGATATCCCCTCCATGCGTGATGACATGCGCCGCGATCAAGTCTTTCAACAATCATAGTACAGTGAGCCCCCCGTGATGAAACGGCCTGTCGACAGGCGTGTTCGGCAAGTCCCGGCCATTGGCTTCGGGCTGTCGGTGAAGGGGTGAAAGAAGGGGTATCCTTGTGCGGACGGTATAGTTCGTGACGTTTTAAGAAAAAGGAACTTGTGCGAAAAGAGGCCAAGTGGCCGAGTCGAGCGTCCGACCAGCGAGACAACCCAGTTTAGCCGTAAGCCAAGCTGAAGCCCGACTTGTGGTCGGCCTCAGTGGGCTCCGTGTTCTTGACCTGGTGCAGCATGGCTGACGGGAGGCAAGGCCGGCCGTGCTGCTCTTCCCACTTGGAGCCGCCGACGCCGGTGTCGATCCAGCCCATCCAGTTGTTGTACAGGCGGTTCGGCGGCTCCGCACGGTAGTACCACGTAGTTCCCTGGTATCGGCGCTCGCGGCCCCAGCCCATCGGGCTTCCTCGGCCGCCACACTCGCCGCTGGGGCCGGGGTTGAACCACTTGTTGAGGAACTCGCCCCGCCAGTCTCGGTCCATGAACACGGGATGGGGAGCGAAGACCGCCTTGAAGCCGTGGAGGAGGGCAACAGTCTGCGGCGTCATTTCGGACGCGACGTGATTGCCCCGCATGTTCTCCACGTGCATAATGTCTAGCAGCCGCTTCGAGATGCGGGACTGCGTGACGATGGTGGTGCGTCGCGGCAAATCGGTCGACTTGTGGTTCTCGTCGTTGTAACCCCAGATGTGGTTGGCGATAATCCACTGGCTGTCGATGGGGTCGAACATGGGGCCTACGGTGAGGAAATCGGCCTCCTCGCCGACGCCCCACTCGTAGTTGTCGTCCTTGAACGACGCAACGGGTGGCTTGGGGCCCACGGGCTTGATAAAGGGCAGGTTCGGGGGTCCCCAGACGGTGTCGTCGCCGTGTCGCTTGGCAACCTCCTCTCGGAAGGTCGTGTCGTAGTCTCCGTGGTACTCGGGGATATACCAGCGCTCGTTTCGCTCCCAGAGGTACTTGCGCGGCTGCTTCTTGGCGAAGCTCTCGAGGTTGTTGAGCAGGTCGTAGTGGTGGCCGGTGTAACGGAAGTCCATCTCCCAGTTCCAAATGAAGTCAAACTGCGGGTGGTCGTGGCTGAACTTTTGCACCGACAACCACTGCGCCGTGTGCACGGTCCGCTCGTTCGGATCCTTGAGCTCCGTGTAAATGTTCCAGACCTGCTCGTCGTTCCAGAGAACGGTGATGGCGTGGAACTCGGCCGGCACGTTGTCGCGCAGCACCTTTTGGTACGTCTCGGCGTCGTCAAAGATGCGATCGTCCTTGCCCTTGGACTGGACGAGCAGGAAGACCTCGTATTGGCCACCGGTCTTGAGGTTGAGCTCGCTGATCATGGCCCGGATGACTTGCTTGTCGTTCTCGCTGTACTCCATGCCCGTGTAGGAGCGCAGCAGGATAGCGGTTCGCGTCTCCTTGACGACCTCGCGTCTGACAGGGGAGCGGCCCTTGATCTTTGGTGGCGGCTTTTCGTTGTAGGGGACGTCGGGCTTCTCCTTGGTCTCCTCCTTGTCCTTGGAATCGTCCTTCTTCTGCTCTTCGGTCGCTGGCGTGGGCGTTGGCTTCGCAAGCTCGGGGTACGCGTCGAGGTACTCGTTCTTCTTGGTGCGGGTCATGTCGAAGCGATCGGCGTTCAGCTTGAGGCAGCGCTGCTGGAGGTCACCCCAGTTGACGTTGTCCCACTTGATGGCCTCGTATTCGCCGCCAACCTTCTTGCGCTGCTCGATCAAGCCGTAGGGGCCCAGCCTCGTGTCGCGCTCCCAGCAAATGTTGGGGTCGAAGCCAAGGAGCTCGTAGCTGCCGAACTTGGGCGCGGGCCACTTCTGGGGCCGGCCCTTGAAGACCAACAGGTCTTCAACAAACTCGCCAGTTGCGCCCTTGCATGGAACGTAGGCTGCGTGGCCCTGCTGCTTCCATTCGTCGCTATTGTAGTCGGGGTAAGGATTGAAGCGAACAGGCTTCTCGCTGGTGAATGACGCTTCGGACTTGGGGTCCTCCCTCAGCATGCGCGACTGCGTCTCAGTGCGGTTGTCCTTGAGGGTCAACGTCTTCATGGTGTTGCCGTAGATGAGGTTTGACGACTTGAGGCTGCGCGGTATTGGGTCAGCATTTACCATGTCGCGCAGAATGAGGCGAGCGCAGGGAAAACGACTTACTTGGCCGTCGTCTTGTAAGCGTAGCGCCACATCTTGCGCAGGTCCTTCTCGTGCTGCAGTCGACCAACATCGCCGGGGGATCTCGGCGTGCCGTCCGTCTCGAAGCCCGGGAGGGTGTCGTTGGGATCCTCGTGGTCATCGGGGTCGCTCCAAGAGCGCAGGTCCTCAATGTCAATGTCCCACTCGGCCTTGGTGCCCGTGGGCTCACCGTGGTGGGGATCCGCGGGCATGTTCTCGCTCACGGGCTTCTCGGGGTTGGTTGCTCCCTTGGCGCCCGTCTGGTCGTGAAGGTAGGGCACGATGTGCAGCTGCGGCGCTGGGCCGCTGAAGAGCAGGAACCATGTCGTGACGGCGGCGAGTACGACAAGGAGGACGATTCTCGGCCGCGGCCGCCCCAGAAGGGAGCGTCTCGGTTGGGGATGCAGCATCTTGTCCATTTCCCGGCGTTTGTAGGGTCCGGGCGCTGCGTTGAAGAAAGTGGTGCGTGTCGCCTGACGGTCCGGTCCTTAAATCGAACCGTGTGGGCGGGCGGGCGGCGGCAGTGTCGCAGACGTGCCGGGTCTGAGGCGCAGGTAAAACGAAGGTCGGGGGATCAAGTCCTTGGCTTCACAGGGGCATGATGAGCCGGAAACGAAGGCGAGCGAGTGACGCAAAACCGGCTGCGTAAAATCGCCAGTCCGCTTGCCGATGAAGCGATCAACGTGCCCAGTGACCTGCTCGTGTCGGGCACAGTGATGGAGCGAAGCGGCGGCGGTTCGTTGTTGCGAGGAGAGAGTGCAGCTCCGAGGGCTCACCTGGTCCGAAGCGCTTTCGCAGGGGGGTCCGGGTTTGCTTTATTTTTTCGGATGCGCCAACGGTAGCCTTTGTGGAGGGTCAGATGGCGTCAGCTTCTCTGGCAACGCCCGTGGCGGGTCGGGGGGTTCCTGTGACGACGTGGCGAGTGAAGTCTGAATCGCAGCGCGGCTCCCTGGCTAACGCTATTGTCTGCAGAATGCCTTGTTGCGAACCCGCGAGGAAATAGAGTTTGGGGTCACAATGGAGAAGGGAAAAGGAACGGCACGACCACGTCGAGGGTGCGAAGAGTGGGAGAAAAGAAGGAGGAGCAACAGGCTGTCGAACTGGGAAGGAGGCAGGCTGGGACGTCGATAAGACCGGCGGACGCTGGTTGCGTCAGGGGGGTCAGACAAGTGAAAGGGTGGTGCAGCGCTCCAGCTGTTTGCAGACGGGATGGATTGGATGGACCCAGCGCGCTGGAGCACGCTGCAAAGTGGCGGGGGGGCAGGACCCGACAGCGCTGGGGCTCGCCGGGGCACGCTGGAGCACGCTGGAGCACCTGGGCTTTACCCAGCGCAGCGGGCGCTCCAATTCGCCGAGGGGGGCTCCTTGCACGCTGAGGGTGGGGCCCGGTTGATAGCGCAGCGTCCACCAGTGGGGCGCTACCCGAGTCGAGCGTTGGCTTGCTGATGACGGATCCCTGCGGCTGGCGGTTGCTTCGAGGTTAGTGGCCCCCGGCAGGCCCTGGCGGTTCCGAATAGGGGCCGGCTATCTTTCGACAGCGGCGCCCGTTCAGTGGATGAGTGGCTGCTGGCCGGTGGCGTTGGGCCCCGTCCGGGCGTCCCCTGATGCCCTGGACGGCCCTGGCTGATCGACTTTCGGTGTGGGCACGGCTGGACGGGCCTGTTGCCAGTTAATTCGCGCTCCAGACGATCGGGAGCTGCAATTTCGCGGGCGACGCGCCTGCGGCGGCGATCTGCAGGAACATGAAGAGTTGGACCTTGCTCCGACCGGGTGCACCGAGTGCGGCTCTTCCCCTGATGAGGCATTGATGGACCGCGCCGGAATTTTGAGATGGCGGACGAGCATCTTCTCTTTCGGAGATGCCGGGCCGCTCACCTGGAGCGTCGCCGTCGCCGTCGCCATCGCCGCCGCCTGGACGCTGTGATACAGCATATGCAAGTCCGTTATGCTCCCGCTGGCACATGGCACGACACCGCCAACATGACACCGGGTCGAGCGCAGCGCCGGCCATGCCCCAGTGGCCCCCGAGTGCTGGGCTCCATGCGCGTCTCCAGCGAACCGTTACGGGGTCGCGGGGGGCCCTGCAGTTATTGCCGCCACATTCTCGAGTCCTTGGCGCGGGGCGCCGGCCCTTCCAGCGCCGCGACTCACCCACCGCGATGCCAACGAACCCTCCAACGCTCCCTGCAGGGTCGGGGGTGAAGAAACCCGCTTCAATGCTTGGCACCAACTCTGTTTTGCGCGTGTAATATAACCTGTAGCCCAACTGCTCTTCTCCCCCGCCGCTCACCTCATTTGCGCGCGCAATGCTGCCATGATGGCTGGGTGGTATCGCCTCATGCTGATGCCATCAGGCGGACAAAGGGGCGTGGCTGCGCCAGCTCGAACGAGTATTTGATCGAGCGCGCGACGGGCAAGATCAACAGCAACGGCAACCAACGGCTGTGAAAGACGTTTGTCGAGGACACCTGGACGTTGGTGCTTGGCTTGGCATCAGCACCGCGACACCACAACTGACACGGGCAGCCCACCCCTATTCCCAGCGGGAGCCCGGCCGGCGGCTCCCCACTACAAAAACTGCAGCAGCACGGGTGGCTGACTCTCATTTGGCGCGTGGCCCCGTCCGTCAGTTACGTGCTCGCAGGGACCCGCCTTTTCCATCCATCCATCCATCCTTGCCATGCCATCCTCCTCCCTGTTGCAGGCCCAGGAGATCGTCCGCAGATCGTGTTACAGGATCGTGCTGGTGCTGCGACATTCCTGCAAACAAAAACAGCCGACTGACCCAATCCACCCCCCTTTTTCAAAACTTGTGTGAGTAAGTGAGGTGAGTGCGTGCGTGTCAACGTGTGTTGCAGCGGCGCTCGCTCGGCAGAAGGAAGACACAGCGGCACAGGTATGGTGGTGCACTGTACTCGAAACCGGTGCGATGGCGGATAGACAAACATGCCCGCGATGCGAAACCTGCTGCTTCTGCTGAGGCGGAAGCGACGGCGTGCGCGCGTGGTCCCTCGATATCCGCCTCTCGGCGCTGGCCCCAAGACACTTGGCATTTATCCGCTGCAGAAGCCCAACACGGACTTCGTGACGGACGCACGAAGCAAGGCCCCGGCCCATTGTGATGAGTGACGAGGTTCAATGAACGGCGCCGAGCCAAGCCAGACCATGCCGAGCCAAGGCCAAAGCCAAGCGCCAACAAAGAAACGCTGGCCACCATGCCATGCCTTCCGGAATAAAGGGAGAAGAGCGCAACCCAACCCACGTGCGCAGCCCATGCCCTCCCAAGCCTCCCAACCATCCTTCTCCCTGAGGTGCCAGGGGGGACCCGCCGAACACTTAGCCAACAAGCAATGATTCAATCAATCAATCAATCCGTGAACCTCCCCATTCCACCCGTCATCAAAGGGGAGCAGTTGGAAGCCCCCAGCGGGGTGGACAATGGAGACGCCATTGGCCCCCAGTGGGTTCCTCCCCCTTGTGGCCCCGACGGGTGTCACTGCAAACTGGAACGCCACGACCCAATCACCCCGGTTGCGGCGTCGACGAGGTGGCCCCGTCTGGCTGGGGCCCGCGGCCAATCACGCCGCCCGGCTGCTTGCGTTCTAATTTCAGCACCCGGCCCGCCTGGAATGCTGGGCAGGTGATGTGCGCCAGGAGGGACATTGAGTGCCCGCTGGGCTTGCTGGGCTGGTGCTGCTGTGATGGATGCGGGCAGTGGGCGCGGCGGCAGCGGCAGCGGCGTCTGTCTCTCCCACGGGCGAGGTCCACGGTGTTGTGTCTGAGCCTTGCGGGCAGTGACGACATCCGTCGCAGGCGGTGCGGGTGCGCAGCGCACGCCGCAAATGCAATGTCGCCCGGGGGACTGGGCGCAGAATGCCGACCGTTTGGTTTGGATGCATGCGATCATGCGTCTGTACGTACGGCATCGTTTCCCGGCGCACAATGTGCCGTGAAACGGGTGCAAACTCCCATACGTCGTGCACGTATTACTGTATTGTACAGTACACCACACACGCGCAGTGCAATGCACCACCACAAACCCCTCCTACCCACCTAGATGCCAGGGCAGGTCTTCCGCTCTTCGGTGGCCCGCCCGCCGTTGTCGTCTCGCGCGCCGACTTGCAGCAGCACCAACAACAACAACGATGGTCAACTCGACTTCCATGCAACACACATCACCAACGACCAACCGCCAACAGCCACCACCACCACCACCACCACCAACCCACCGCGCGCCTCACGCTCAGCCCTCCCCGCGGCTCGACACTGCAGAAGGCACTCCCGCGCCACGCGCCGCCACAGGCCCAACGCCAAGACGGCAGACCGGCGTGGACTGAGCAGCCCTCAACTGCAGCGCCAGCAGCCGGCCCCTCGCAGCCAGCCCGCCGCACCTGAAGGGTCGGCGACGCGCGTCCCCGCCCTGCAACCTATGTGCTCCGTGCGCCCCAATATTAGTTTCGGGCCGGCGACAAGACGGCCAACCGGCGCCGACACGGCGGCCATTTCTTGTTCTCTCGTCTTCTGTGTTGTGATCCAACGTGTTTTCGTCGTCGGTCTCGCTTGAGCCAAGGCCGTTGACCTGCGCGCGTGTGTGTGACCGATGCGACCGATGCGGGCGTTCGTATGTGTGTGGATGTGTCGAGGTCAGCGATACGGATCTAACACCCGCTACGCAGCTACGTGAGACCAACACGAGCACGAGCACACACACGCCGTACACACACACCTCTGGTCGGACTTCATATGAGCCGCGGCCATTGAGACGCCCGCATCGCGACCCGTCGCGTCGCATCACCCGGCTTCCCCGCTGCGACGCAATCTCTCCCGTCGTCAGTTGCGTGTGCCTGAGAGGTCCGTTGATGGTACAGTGATGGTACAGTCATGTAACCTTTGGGTAATTATCGAGGTTCTAAGCTGTTACATCAAAGAGGTTTCAGCACCCCTCATCAAAACTCCTCGACAGCTCTTGGCAGTCCCGTCGTGCCCGGCTTAGACTCCATCCAGTGCCTGCCTGCCCGATAAACCAAGTTGCCCATTGTCGTCGCGAGCTACATATCCGCCAAAAATCAGGCCACCGGGGGGTATATTGGAACAGAAAGCCGGCGATCGGTAGAAACAAATCCAAACAGAAACAAATGGCCAGTGCCCGCGTCTCCGGGACCACGCGGTGCGGCGGGCAGCCGATGCACGTTGGTCAAGTTGGCGGAGGCGGGTCGTATTACAATGCTTTACGATGCAACGGAGGGAGGAAGGGAGAGATCCCTGCGTAATGCAGACGCATAAAACCCGTCATGCATCTCGCATCAGTCGCATCCATAATTCGTGTCTCGTTCGCTTCACATCTGGCCCATGCGCGTCATGCGCTTGTTCATCCGCGGCCTCGGACCCAGCCCGGGCCCTGGTGGGCCGCGACGGCCTCCGGGTGCGGGCCCGTACGGGGCCCGGGGCATGCCGTGCGGCCCACCGGGTCCCGGCCTCGGACCTGGACCCGGACCCGGGCGGTTCGGCAGCCCATTGCCCATCCCGCGCGGCGGACGTGGACCAGGGCGGCCCGGATATTGGCCTGGCGCTGGTGGCGGATACGCATTCTGCGGCGCTGGCGGATGCGCGGGTGGTGAAGGAGGCTGCGTTCGCCTCCATGCGTCTCTCTCGCAGTACGCCCTGCCGTCGACCTCAAAGTAGCCGTCTGAGAGCGAGCGCCCACAGTCCAGACACCGGAAGCAGCCCGGATGATACTTGATGCTTGACTCGTCTTCAAGGTACTGTCCCTCGATTCCGCGTCCACAACTTCCGCACAAGCTGCCATTGAGCTTATGGTAGTGTTGCTCACAGTAGGGCCGGTCGTCGAGGACGTAAAATTCGGCCGACGAAAAGGGCTCCGAGCACGTTGTGCACACGAAGCAAGCCTTGTGGTACTTGCCTGTGAGCCGCCCGTCTGCCGACGATATACTCTTGCCGCGGATGGCCAGTCCACATGCCTTGCAGTCTCCTCGAGACGGGAGCGTTAAGGGGTCACGCGAACCGTTCCGAACGGGAGGCGAATTATTATATCCCGCGGGGGACGTCTGGGGTGCCCGAGCTGAAAGGTCGTTCCTGTGGTCGGACCTCATATCCTCTGGCTCCCTGTAGTAGGTGTCGCCGTACCTCGGACTCGGCGCGGAGCGATCGTAGCTTCGTCCTTCCAATTCGAGTTTCCCAGGTTGAATCGCCGGGTCAATCCGCTCGCCAGGCGACTTTGCGTAGGTCGGAGTCACGAGCGGTGATGGGGTACGGAGAGGTGTGGGAAGATCATTCCGTCCGCGCGTACTCAGGTTTTCCATTGGCGTCTCGAGGCCGGTCATTGATCGGTCTGATTTTGCCATCGCCGCATCAGCATCGCGGCGGTCGATCGGCGACCTCCCCGGGCTTGTCTGAGAGCTTGCCTGGCTCGGGTGACTGAAGGTCGTGTAGCCAGATGAGGCCGAGCCGGAAGGCGTATGATATGGGTTACCGATTCCAAATTCAGCAGCCACATCAACGGATACCGAGTTTTTGGGCCGGTGGTTCGCCAGCAGACTGGTTCGGGGCGGCGGCTTCCTCGATGTGTCCGGGCTCATCGATAATTTCGACTGGTGGCCGACGCCGCTCGATTGCCGTAGGCGATCTGGCCGTGTTCCGGGTGCAGAAGAAGTTCTTGCCGGCGACTGAAGGCTGGGCGAGGGTTTTGGATATGTCTCGGACCGGCTGATGAAGCCTGAGTTTGGTGGCTGGACTTCGTCCGCTGTCCCCGGACGGCCGAATCCGCCATAACCATTCTTTCGAGGCGCCCTCGGGGGTGCAGCGAGGTTGCCGGCACCGGATGTGTTAGAAGGACTTGTGCTGGGACGGTCGTCGTAAGGGCGTGCCAGCTCCTCCAGCGAGGGGCCGTCGTACTTTTCCAGGGAGTCCTTGCGTGTGGGAAACGCTGCGGTAGATGGACTCCGACTCGTATCGAATGGGCCTGGGGCGATGGTGTTCATCCTCTGCATGAAGCCGGGTCCTGCCGGTCTGCCGAAACTCGAGCTCAGGGCGGAATCGGGTTCGTCCTTTCCGTGGTCACCAAAACCGCCGTATCCTCCTGGTCTCCTAATCGCTCCTGGCGAGCGTGAAGAGAGATCGCCGGCACGGCCAGTCGCAGGCAGGCCGCTATCTATTATTGGTGATGCGCTGCGAGATCCACTGGGTTGGCTCACAGGCGTCAACTGGCCCCTATGCATGAAGGCGCGGTCTGGATCAACAGTGTTAGTGGCAGAAGCACAAGTCGTGGGATTTGAGCACTCACTCGCAGCCTCCGTATCTACCGGCGGCGGCGTCCACCCATACTTTCCCGACGTCGGTTGGCTAAACTGGCTGTCAAAGCCCTCGTCGGCCTCCGGCGGCGGTGACACTGCATGAACCGGTCAGTCTGCGCGAGGTTCGGGTGATAGTATGGTGGTGGTACTGCACTCACGCTCAGCCGTCGGGCCGCCGCAGAGATGATCTCCCATCATGGAAATTTCCACATCTCGCCCGCATGACGAGCACTTGATGGTCGGCAAGAAAGCCGATTCCCTAGGCAGGGCCATGGCTGCCGTCGTCGTGTCCCTCTGGCGAGTCTCAGTGACCTCGTGACGACGGCGATGATGGCATCGGATCTTGACGACTGTTTCCGCGGTCGAGTAGGATTACAAGCCGTTCTTGGTTTCTTCTGCGGACACGGAAAAGGCAAAGGAAACAAGCAGAGAGGCGGAATTTGCTTGATCGGTTGCGCAGGAAAAGCCCCCTTGGGTAGCGAACGTCTTGGCGATGCGGTGCTCGTCGGCAGGCCTCTTCCTTGTTTCGTCTTGCGCCAGGGCTCCCGATGACTCGCTGCGTGTGACCGAAAGGTCGAAACACGCTCTCGCTGAAACGCTCCGACTAGATTGTGCAATGGATGAATATGATGCAGGCGCCAGAAGCGACGCTGGTGACCCGATGAGGAATGAAGATCAACCCCGACTCGTGCTGTCGCCGCAACGCATGAAACGGGCACTCTTGGCGGAGGCGGCGGGTTCTCGATGCCCGACACGACAGAGGGCTCGCGGATGGCTCGCGGATGGAAAGAAAGAGAGGAATGGCTTGTTTGAAGGATGGTCAGTCGGGCCAAGTGGTGCAGCGCTCCGTGTCTCGAATGCGGAGAGGTGGGCTACTCAAGAGCCAGATGAGCTCCGGATTGAGTGCGGCGTCGGGTGGTGCCTGGACCCCTGGCGTCCCCTGACGGTGCAGCGAGCGGAGTGGAGGTCGGTGCAGGTGGCCGGTGCGCTAGTGGACCCTGCTGGCCCCCGAACAGGCAGTGTCCAGGGGGTGCCCCTTGTCGCTCGTCGGCCGGCGGGCTGTCGTCAGCAACCTAAGGGAAAGCAGACGGCACAGCTGCAGGCCAATGAACCAACGCCCGTACGGCCAGAGATGGAATCGGGAGAAGCTGGCGATGGAAGCTCTAAAAATATTGGCGGACGCCGTGCTGCATTCATAAGACTTTGCCGTGGGTCGCTCGTGTTCAAGGTGTCGCCGGCGCTTCACCTCATAAGGTGCTGCCTTGCGTATCTACATGCCGTCGCGGCCACTGAATGATGCGAGGGGAGCAGGCAAGCACCGGTCGTACCAGGTCAAAGGTATGCCATGCCGCGCTACTCAGCTGGTGGTGGCTCGTAAACGGCCCCCAGTCTTGCCGGTATCAACGCCTTTTTGACCCTTTGTCTCCCCTGCGACGCCTCTGTGTCAATCGGGTTGGCGACATGGATCTTCAGGGCAGCGGCGCAAAAGCAAATGTTCCTTCGGCCGAGTGCCCCTTTGGATGCCTTTTTTGACAGCACCCTTTAAATGGCGGTCGCTGGAATGGTCTTTTCTAAAGAGCGTTGCCCTTTGCATGTCCCCGCCTCGTCCCTTTGCTGCTCCCTGGCGCGCCAACACAGCCCTTCTTGGTGGCGTTCTGGCGGTGGTGGTGGTGGTAGTGAGGGTGGTGGCTGGTGAAGACAAGACCCGAAGCACAGACTGGCCTCGGCACCTCACCTGCCGTCCCCTTGCGTCCATGACGCCCGAACCCTTTCCGACTACCTGTCTTCTCCTCAGTTGGATGGATGGATGGATGGTTGGTGGCGATGCGAGCACGGAGTGTGGATATCCGAGCGCGACTCTCGCTCGTCATTCTTGGAGGCTGCTGCTCTCATCGGGCGTGTCCAGCCAGCCAGCCAGCCAGCCAGCCATCCGAAGCCTCGAGGTCCTGATCCCTGCGCACTCCTCGCGGTGGACGGCCGCGGCCCACCGCATCGCCCATCAGCATCGCGGTCCGGGCTCATCGCACCTGGGCGGGGAGCCGACGCAACCCAGGCCAGGATGCCAGGTCCCCCCACTCAGTCATTTGGGGCCGTGTCGATGATGAGCTTGATGAGGCCATATCCACTGTCATTCGAGCGACACGGCGGTGGCTCACCTCAGGCGATGGCCCGGCCTGGGCCGGCTCGCGCGGGCTTGGTCTGCTTCTGGTTCACTATTCCTGGTTCAACCCAATGGACGGATGGATCCTCGGGCGCTGTAATGAGGGCCCACAGCGGCGGCCACTCAACGCCCCTCGAGCCCCCGGGTACCTTGCACAAGCTCCGGTGGAGGCGCCCGGCCTCTCACCTTGGGATGTGGTGAGCAGAGGCCACTTCCCAACATGGCAACAACCGTGGGCTCCTGTTGGTTCGTCTGCTCACATTGGTGATTCCGGAATCACCAAGTCGCAAGGTATCAACCGGTCAGTGGCTGGCTGCGAGGCACCGCGAGGCAGCGTGCCGTCCGCGCTTCGCCAGGGCTCAGGAGACTCATCTCCCTCGTCAGAAAGCCCGTCGCAGCACGCGCCGCCCTTGATAGCCTCTGCTGTCGCATAATAAGCCGCAGCAGCGTCACGCCGTTCCGGGAGCGCCGGCGCGTGATCGAAGGGATAATAGCGCGAGGCACGGAAGGGGGCACGAATCGATCGGAGGGCATGCTTGCTGCTGCTGCTGTTGCCGACCTGGCTGGGCCGACACGGGCGAGTCATCTCACTTGCATGCGATACGAACCTTTTCAAGCACCCTCGCGGCTTGGCTCTGCAGGCCAGACCATGCCCGCTTGAGAAGCGTCGTGGTTGCAGTCGCCGCATGCCATTCCGCAGAGCTGTCCAAACGAGGCCACCGAGCCGAACTGTCCGAATGGAATCGTTGGTCGCTTTGGTGTCTTCAGCCTCAAGTCGACGCCCACGCCAACCCCGGTTTGGCCCTCGATGGCCGTCTGTGATTTCCCATTTCGATCGGCCTTCCCCAACGTCGCCTCGCTGCGTGACGGATGATCGTCATATCTTGGCAGGAGATCCCCCACGGTCTGCAGACCCCTCGACCGGCTTGCTTCTTCCTGCCGGCACGGTTTCCTTCTGCCATGGAGATTGGCGCCTGACGCCATGTTCCAGAAGCGCCAGCACCGAACGCCGTGTCACGATGAGATGGCGCGCCTGACCGGATGGCTCTGGCGTCAATGCGAGCGTGGCTGGCTCCTCGCGAAAAGCCGTGCAAACCCGTGGTACTACTGACTACCTACCGTACGATGCCGGAGCACGGACATTGTGATGGATGCATTGCGATGCCGCCGTGGCGTAATGATTCTCCCGCACCGCTCGTGACGGCAGGGACCCGACTTGCATGAGTCGTCCATGCAATCAAGAGGAATGAGAAGCGCTTGCTGAGACCCGACATGGCATAAGACAGGAGGCGAGTCAACAGGTCCAGGCCTCGCATTGTCGGTACCATGCTTAATTAATTGCCTTGGGTGCACACTCGTAGAGTCCGGCCCTCAGATAGATCGCACTTCGTAGGCGAGTCTGCGACAAACGACTTGTCCGTGCAGTGGCTCAGCCCTCCAAGTAGCATTTGAGTCCTCGAATGTCACCCAGGTGTCGGATTCTTCCGAGCATTGGTAGGGATGCACGTGCGCGAGCTCTGCAAGTGAATCCATCAAGCTACTCCAAAATACCCTCGCATCATACAGCGCGGTCAACTCGGCTTGTGCCAAGTTGCAGAGTCTTTAGCCGAGCAATGTAGCGTGCCATCAATTCAAAACTGCCAGAGCAAGGGATGATGGGCCTCTTCCCTGCAATTCTATGCATCTGCAGCATGGCCCTATATCATTGTCAAATGCGACTGATTCTGGACATGGCACGTTGCCCAACCCACCTGTCCTGATACCCTCTCGACGGCTTGTTTCAGGAGCAGGTGGCCCGAGGGCCAGCCAGGTCCGTCGCCGCCACCCCACTGCCACCGACGACGGACCCTGGTTGTACAGAATAAAGACGCTGGCTCTCGCACCTGCAGGGCCGCGCCGGGGTGAGAGATAGATACTAAACCCTTGGCAAGGCGGGCGACGAGTTGGTCTTGGTCTCTGATCTGCTAAGGTCGAGCCTCGGCTTAGGGCTTTGTCGTTGCGACACGACATATGAACCCACCAGCAGCATGAAGACCCAGAGGCCAATGAATTGGGATCTTAAGCGGTTAGTAAATGGGCCGCATCAGGCGCAAAATGCGACGACACCCGCCCGTAGCATATCATGGTCTTCACAATCTGAAATCAGCCGGCGAGCCTTGTAAGGGGCCGAGACCGCTTCATGGGCGAGGCCTTTTCAGGCGCAGATTAATAGCGCAACTAATCAACAAACTATCTGACGATGAAAATTTTACGACTTTAAGAGCGACTTGTCAACGCGGGCAAAAAAAAAAAAAAAAAAGAATTGCGCAAAGGACGTTTCGCGAAGTTCCTGACGAGCCCTCCTGACGATTCAAGCTGGCCAGAGCAGCAGACGGCACTTCTCAATGCCAGGCTAGACCGCCAGAGTGGCGCATCAACGCTGGCAGGCACACGACCAATGACACGCAAACTGTACCTAGGCGAGTTATGCATGTTGGGAGCGGTCATGGCAACTCGCATCTGCAGTCGCATCAGGGACGGCAACAGTTCGTAGATCTGCACTGCGCATGCAGGCGGACTGAGACATTTCCTGCCGGGGGTCACGACCCCGCTGTTGATTGTTGGGGGGCAGACGGCAGCGAAACAACAGGACAGCGAGCGAGTTGTTGGCCTCTGACGATTGGCATCTCTTGCGGTTCGCCGTGGGCTATTATGCCGTTGGCGATGCGAAGAGGAGACGTGACGGAGCCCGCATATGCATTGCTAGTCGGCCAAGTCGTCGGCATCCAGGCGGGAGACTTGGTTCCTTCGTCTTGTGTGCTCTGTCTTACGTAGGGAAAAGTTGAACAGTCGCCGCAGCGTTGCATGGGCCACGCATGCAACGGTGCCAGCCGAGGACAAGTTGATCTGCTTGGCCTACATTGGCGGCGTGCACGCAAGACCTCCTGCCCCATCAGGGTCCTGCGTGTTCATCCAATTGCTTCGCGCACTCGCGGGCGAGACCGCAGATGGAGGCCAATCGCTTGCAACCAGTGCCAACCACAGATGGTTGACGAGGCGGGACGAGTGGCACTAGCACAGGGGAGGCAGCGGGTTATTGGCGGCGGCGACGACGGCGGCGCTGAGCGCGGGAGCCGAGGGGCGGCTTCGTCCCATGTTTGCTCCGTGTCTCCGTGTGAGGTGTCGCGGGTGACAGGCCGGGCGGACGGGGACACACTGAGAAGGCTGCCCGGTGGACGGCATCGTGTACGTAGCAGAGGATGCCTTGGGTGGTGAGAGTGTGCAAATCTTCGCTTCGCGCCTATATGGGTGCAAATGGCACTCGCTGGGCCGGGCGCGATGACGACGGGACAGCAGGCGGGTGCGCGGATGACGGGCTTCGATGTTGTGCGCGTCGGCTGTCGCCGGATGCTGGAAACAGCGCATCGGCGGCCCGGGGCACGACATCGACCCGTGGCACGGGACGTGCGGCGCGCCAGCGCACTCCGCTGCGAACCTCCAGGCTCCGCTGGACCATGGGTTGCCTCACAGAGACAGAGAGACGGGCGCACAATTGGGCGTGTTCGTTGGGGGGGACCGCCGCCCCAGTTTGTGCCGGCAGCGCAGCGCAGTTGCAGCGCAGCGCAAATGCTGGCGCGGCCTTATCCGTGGCATCCGACGCCCGCCCGCCGCACACGGTTTTGCTCCCTTATTCGCCTGCCCGCTTGCAGTTGCCCCTCCACGGCGGCGTCGACGCAGTGCTAGCACCGTTATCGCGGCCCACCTCGCGTCCCTCACCGCCCTGTGGACTGCGGGCGTGACAGCTCCGGGGCTCCACGATATAATTTCAGGCCCGCGCCTCCAAGCCCCTCCCCCTCCTTTTCCCTCTCCTTTTCCCTCAACAGCTTCAACTTTACAGTATCTCTCGAAAACAAAACTCTTCGACTTTTCAGTCAAAGAACAAAAAACACAAAACCTCGTGGCCGACTCAGACCCTTGGTTTCCAACCCCCGAACCTCGTGTTCAACCCAAAAACCGTCCATCCAAAAAAAGACACATAAATCCACAGATCGAGGCATTTCTTCCTCGATCACTTCAAAGTCGTCAAGACGTTTTCCAATCTCCTCAACTCGTATGTTACCTCCCCAGTGCTCTTTCTCCCGCCCGGTTTGCCCGTGGAAGTAGCACGTCGCTGACCGTTCTTCCCCCAGGGTGCACCACCCGTTCGCAGGAGCCCGTTGCTCAGCCGATTCCGGAGGAGCATCGGACTCGATCGAAACGCAGTAAAGGTCCAACCTCACTGCAAGAACCCGTAAACCTCTGAATACAAGCCGCTTCGCGCCAACAAGCCAACTCGTCAATTCGCCATGGCTCCCCACGCGCAAGACAGCACGGGCTCCTCGAACGGGGCGGGACACGCCAATGGACACGCCGGCGCTGCTCGCAGCACCTTCGTTGTCAACTCGCCCAACGTTACCTACACCGACGCGGAGATCAAGTCCAAGTACACCTACCGCACCACCAGCGTCGAGACCAATGCCTCGGGTGACTTTGTTGCCACCCCCAAGGAGGTCCTCTACGACTTCAAGGTCGACCGCAAGGTCCCCAAGGTCGGCATGATGCTCGTCGGCTGGGGCGGCAACAACGGCACCACCGTCACCGCCGGCATCCTCGCCAACCGCCGCAACCTCGTCTGGGACACCAAGGAGGGTCCCCGCGAGGCCAACTACTACGGCTCCGTCGTCATGGGCTCCACGATGAAGCTGGGCACCGACGCCAAGACCAACAAGGAGATCAACATCCCCTTCCACAACGTCCTGCCCATGGTCCACCCCAACGACCTCGTCATTGGCGGCTGGGACATTAGCAAGATGAACCTGGCCCAGGCCATGGACCGCGCCCAGGTCCTCGAGCCCACCCTCAAGGCCCAGGTCAAGAAGGAGATGGCTGAGATGGTGCCCCTGCCCTCCATCTACTACCCCGACTTCATCGCCGCCAACCAGGAGGACCGCGCCGACAACGTCATCGAGGGCACCAAGGCCTCGCTGGCTCACGTCGAGAAGCTCCGCAAGGACATCCGTGACTTCAAGGCCAACAACAACCTCGACAAGGTCATTGTCATGTGGACCGCCAACACGGAGCGCTACGCCGACATCATCCCCGGCGTCAACGACACCGCCGACAACCTGCTCAAGGCCATTGAGCAGGGCCACGAGGAGGTCTCCCCCTCGACCGTCTTTGCCGTCGCCTGTATCCTGGACAAGACTCCCTTCATCAACGGCTCGCCCCAGAACACCTTTGTGCCTGGCGCCATCGAGCTGGCTGAGAAGCACGGCGCCTACATTGGCGGCGACGACTTCAAGTCGGGCCAGACCAAGATGAAGTCGGCTCTCGTCGATTTCCTTATCAACGCCGGCATCAAGCTCACCTCGATTGCCAGCTACAACCATCTTGGCAACAACGACGGCAAGAACCTGAGCTCGCAGAAGCAGTTCCGCTCCAAGGAGATCTCCAAGTCCAACGTCGTCGACGACATGGTCGAGGCCAACTCGGTGCTGTACAAGAAGGGCGAGCACCCTGACCACTGCGTCGTCATCAAGTACATGCCCGCCGTTGCCGACAACAAGCGTGCTCTGGATGAGTACTATGCCGAGATCTTCCTCGGCGGCCACCAGACCATCTCGTGAGTATTGCCAACTTCGTCCCTACTTGTATCGTGTGCTGACCATGCAGTCTGTTCAACATCTGCGAGGACTCGCTGCTGGCGTCGCCTCTCATCATTGATCTCGTCGTCATCGCCGAGATGATGACGCGCATCCAGTGGAAGTCGTCGGGCGCCGAGGGCGACTACAAGAACTTCCACAGCGTCCTGAGCGTCCTCAGCTACATGCTCAAGGCTCCTCTGACTCCCCCGGGCACCCCGGTTGTCAACGCTCTTGCCAAGCAGCGCGCGGCCCTGACCAACATCTTCCGCGCCTGCGTCGGTCTCGAGCCTGAGTCGGACATGACCCTTGAGCACAAGCTGTTCTAAGCTCTCGACGCATGTGGTTTCTTTGGACGAGCTCGCGGATTGCCTTTCGTAATGGATGAGAGACGATGTCTCCGGCCAGTCTTTACTGGGATGCACGATTGAAGAACAAAAAAAACCAAAAAAAAAAAATAAAGTAGAAATAGCCGGCGCTCGCGTTAGCTGCAGCACGGTGCAGCTAGAGAGTCGAAATACAACTGCTGTTTCTCAACGCTGCTTCCATCACTGATTGATCGTGAAAGTAGCCTGTGCATCGATTGAGCCGACCGAATGAACTAAGTACCATTGTCTGAGCTTGATGCGAGCCGTAACGCTGAGCGAACATGAGGCCTGAACGGCAGGCATGTGGAGTGCGGGCGGCAGAGTCGTGGTGGTGGCTAGAGGGTTCAGCGGCCCGTGGCAGGACGCGGGAGTGGCTGAGGTGATGCGGTGCGTCGCGGTGCCACCAAAAGTCGCGTCGAGCGCGTCAAGCTCCCCACCCACTTTAACACCGCCGCTCCCTCGCCGCCGACCACAACTCAACAGCGCCATCAATCACTCACAACCTGACGCCAGCATTCATAGAAACTATCCTCTATCGTCTTTTCTGTTCATTTCAAGACGCCGAATGCACATGCGCTGCTAAACGACCCGCTTGTCGCGAATTGAACGACAATGGCCTCGTCCAGGGCGTCGTCGCCCGCGTCGCGCGAAGCGTCGCCCGAGCAAATGACGCCGCGGTCCAAGATCAAGGCGCTGCTCGCGACGGTGGAAAGCAGCGATGATGAAGGCGACAACAAGCCGTCGGGCAATTCCAGCAATGGGTCTCCCACAAGAAAGACCAGCGCCAGCAATCGCGACGTGCAACCAACACGCATAAACAACATGGACAACGGCGGTAGCGACTCGGACGACTCCGATGTGCCGGTCCGACCTCGAGGCAAGCTCGCATCTCGGATGCAGGGGAATGCGGCTGCCTCGAAATATGTCGAAAACAAAGCAAACACTCCCGAAACAGCTAGGGAACGCGTCAGAAAGATGCTCGAACGCGAAGCAGAGGCCGAGGCTGCGACCACGCGTGGCGAAGAGGCCGACGCGGAGAACGACGACGACCAAGAGCTCCCCGTGGCCCCGCGTCGGTTGAAACGACGTGCTCCCCGGGATCCTACACCCGATACTGCAGAGCAGCCTGCTCCCCGTTCACCTAGTCCCGGCCTCTTCGTCTCCTCACCCGTGCGACCGTCTCCCGCCAAGAGCGCCCACGCCGACCAAGATTCCGACAACGACCTTCCCGCCCTCAAGTCAGATCGCTTCAAGGCGCTGGTAGAGCGAAAGAGACAAGAACGCCTGGCACGAGAAGCAGCGGAGGAAGCCCGCAGGGCCGAGCAACGCGCTCGCCAGGAGAAGCTCGCGTCAGAGCTGGAAATGCTCGACTCTGACGACGGCAATGATACCGGCATCACCGACGATGAGGGTGGGCGTAAGCTCACGCAAGAGGCCCGCCCGACGCGGAAAGCTAGCAGAAAGGCCATCGAGGAAATGAATCGCGAGACGCAGCGCATTGCACGTAACATGCAGCTCGCGCACGAGGCGCGCACCAGGAAGAAGATCACCAAGGCGAGCCTCTTCGAGAGATTCAACTTTAGACCGGTCGGAGAGGCGCAGCCGGAGCCCAAGACGACGAGCTCTAGCCGACCGGGGACACCGCCGACCGACGTCGAGATGAAGGACGTCGACACGCCGCCTAGCTCGCCGCCGGCGACCAAAGGATCGGAAGTGCCACTCCCTCTGCCGATCGGAGACGCTACGATGCCTGATGCTGATGAAGAGGAAATACCATCTCTGGATGAGGTGATGAGCTCTTCTCAACCGCTCGATAAGGGCAAGGGGAAAGCACCAGCTTACGACGCTGAACACCCCAGCAAGACAACGCCAAAGCCCAAGCGCCGAGTTCGCGTTCGTCTGCCAGTCAACGCCGCCAACCTAGTCACTATTGACTCGGATGACGAGCTGGAGGTTACCAAAACGACAAAAGACAAGATCATGGCAGTTTTCGACAAAGTCCCAGCCGACAGTGCCAAAGAGTCCCGGTCTATGAAGGCTCTCCGGGCACTTGCGCTGGTCAAGTCGCCCAGCAAGGACAGCAGCCGTGGCCAAAAGGACCATTCGAGCATGACGCCCGGAGAGCTCCAGGCCTTGTTGTATCAGAGAGCCAGGCAGCAGGCTAAGATGGAACGTGATCGCCGCCTCGACATGCTAAAGTCCCAAGGGATCGTGATCCAGACCGCCGACGAGCGTGAGCGACAACAACAAGAGGTCGAGGACCTCGTCGCCAAGGCGCGAGAAGAGGCGCAAAAGATTATGCAGGAGGAGCGGGCTGCCGCCAAGAAGGAACGACAAGAGAACGGAGAGTCAGATCCCTTGGGTTGGGATGACAGCGATGATGATGAGTACGAAGATCCTGCCAATGAGGCGGACGCCGAAGCGTCTGCTGTGGAACTTTCCGGTTCCGAGGATGAGGACGAGGACGAGGAGGACGCCGACGAAGCTGAAGGGAACCCGCTGTTTGACGAGGACGCCGAGTCCGGAGAGTCAGAGCACGAGTCCGCAAACGAGGGCGAGGCTCTGGATAACGAGGACGTGGACGACGCACCGGCCGTCAAGCGGAGGCGAGCGCGGAAAACGGCCATCGTTTTGTCTGACGACGAAGCCGATATCGAGGCCACACCAAGGCCCGCAAGGACTGCCACTCAGGTAACCCCCGGCGCACCCAAGACCGTCTCTCCGGCCGCACCCACATCCGTTCTCCGATCAGCCAAGAAGACCTTCATTCCCGGACTGCCTGTGCAGGGGCCAGCTGGCCTTGGCCTGACGCAGATTTTCGCAGGCACCATGGACGACAGCCAGGCCAGTCCATCCGCGGGACCTACCCAGTCCATGATGCCCGACTTTGACGCTTTCCCGGACAGCAATTTCTCGGCGACTGCGGGGACCCAGGGCGAGGACGTCGTCATGGACTCGCAGCCAGAGACGGCAGTGCAAGCGACGCAAACGCAGGGCATTCGACTGAACCTGTCGCAGTCGCAGATGCATGGTCTAGACAGCTTATTCCCGGCTGGGCTGACGCAAGCATCTGAGCATATAGAGGCCTCTCAGGACGGCGGCCTGCAGGAGTACACTCCTATCAAGCAGAGGTTCGTCGAGCCTCCGGTTTCTACGGTTGACACCGTTCCACTGGGCCACGACGAGGAAGACGCGCCACACGAGTCGCCACTTGTGAGAAGAGGGCGGCTTCGTCGCAAGATGGAAATGTCCGTCATCGAAGAGGAGTCTGCACAGCCTAGCGCCAATGTAGCCCCTGTCGAGAACGCCTTCAGTGCCTTGGCCGACGCTGCTCGAAAAGAAAAGAGGAGACAGCATGCTGAGGAGTTCAACCGCAAGAAGACCAAAGCGAAGGAGATGGTTGAAGAGCAGGCTGAGGAATCAGAGGACGAATATGCTGGCCTCGGCGGTGCCGACGGCGAGGACAGCGACAATGAGTCCCAAGGATCTCTGCAGGAAATGGTCGACGACGACGCCGCGAATGACGTGGACAGCGGCAAGCTGGCTGCCTTTTATGCGTGAGTAACCCCGAGACTATTTGCGCGCTAAGCAGGCTAACAATATGCAGTGACCGGGAGCGTGCCAACGACGAAAAGGAGGTGGAGAAGCTGTTCAAGGACATCACCACGGGCATGCTCCGTCGTAAGCGGGGGGCCGACTACGACCTCTCGGACGAGGATGACGGCGGCGAGGCACGACGAAGGATGAAGCGTCGTCAGTTTGCCAAGATGCAAAAGGCCCTGTTTTCGGACGAGCGCGTCAAAAAGATTGCCGAGAACCCGGGCAACCAGGCGTTCCTCCGGACGATTGAGGATCACGGCAGTGACGACGAGATGGACTTTTTGGACTTTGCGGCTTCGCAGGGGCAGGGCGACTCTCAGTCTCAGGAGGAAACGGACTCGGAGAAGCGCCCAGAGACCATCCCTGACAGCCAGCCTGCGAAGCAGCCCCTTGCCCCGGGAGAGAACAGGGCCCCGGCGCACATGCGGCGCACCAAGGGGGCTGCGGCCAAGAAGCCGTCAAACCTCGGTGAGGTGCGAGAGACGCTGTCGAGCCTGCTCGAGGAGCGTCAGCCTTCGGTGGTTCCCGCGACCGAGGTTGGCTCCGATAGTGAGGACGAGCAGGACGACCAGGCGTCCATGCGGAGTGATAAGGAGAACTACGAGCCGAACCCGCGGCGTACGGGGCCTGCGGTGGTGGATCGCATCAGTCTGAAGCGCAACGCGTCCTCGTCATCAGCATCAGGCGCGCGCCTGGCATTCTCCGCGCAAGCCTCGACCTCGTTCAAGGTCCCGGCTCTGCTGCGCCGCGCGACGACAAACTCGACCATCATGTCCGGGTCGACGACAAGCTCCAGCAACGGCGGCTCCGCGGCCACGGCGGGCAGCACAGCGGTGGTGGGCAGCGCGGGCGGGTTCGGCGACGACGCCAAGATCAAGCGGGGCGCGGGCAAGAGGAGCGGCGTCAACGGGTTCGCGCGGGAGAGGGAGGCGCCGGGCGCGATCAAGGAGAGCGAGCGGAGGAGGGAGCAGAGGAAGGTCAAGGGCGCGGTGAGGAGGGTGGGCGTCGTGGGCGGGCTGCTGGGCAAGGGGTCGTTTGAGTGACCGGTTGATGCGTGTCCACTGCGACATGAGATGAGTGCATGTATGAATGGCGTTTGGGAGCAGAGCAGGCTTTGGCTTTACTGGCGCTGGCAGGTTTCTATGCAGTTCTGAAAGGATCAACTTTGTGTGAGGTCTATACGAGACTTGTGTGTTATGTGCCGTTGGAGTGGAATTCGTGTCGCACTGCGTTATGCAGGTCGATCAGCCAGGAGTCCAGGACTGCCACTCCGTCTCCCACTACCAACCAACCATTTGACACAGTCCCTTTCGCACGAAATAACTACCAATTTGTCCTCAAAGCCAAGTCTTTGGAAGATGGTATAATGAATCGGGTCCTTTCGCCCGTCATCGTTGTCTGTTGAGAGGGACGTGGGATGGATGGATCATGTGACGTGGAGTCGGAGTTTAACCTGGAAGCTCAGGTACGTACTGACGCGGGCTGGGGCGGGCGAGCAGCCAGCAACGAAACGAACCTGAAGGGGACGGACGGGACGTTGTGCTATTACAGGAAGTACGCGCAGCATGATATCATACCACCACCACCGCTCACCACCGCTCACCACCACCATTCACCACATCAGACCAACTAACGTTACCACCACTCACTCAACATCAGCGCTATTCTTCATCGCCATCGCCACTACAACGTGCGACACTGACGGTTACCTCGTCCACCATAATCCTCCTGCCCCCCCGTTAGCTTCACGCCTCCACCACAGCACGCTCCTTCACATCCACACGCCAAACACCATTCGCCTGCCTGCCAAACCGCCCTCCTCATCATCGTCGTCGTCGTCGAACAACTGTTACCCGCCGCCAAGCTTCAGAACCACCCCACGACACCGCGCGCCCCCACGCAGCGTTAACGACCCTCGCGTGCAAGTGCAAGCAATCCATGGCGGCGACGTCAGAACCGGCGTGCCAGTGCGACTGCGCCGCCGCGGGCGCCGGAGCGCTGCCCAACGAGACGTTCATCAAGCGTGCGTGCATCCTAAGTTACCTTACATGGCACACCCTGCGTTCCGTTCCTACACGCTCGCTCGGCCACTGACCGCCTGTGTGCCGGTCCATCTAGTCGTTATATGCGCCGGCCTCGCCCTCCTGCTGGCGTGCATCACGCGCCCTCTCCAGGACGGCCCGTCACGCTTCTCCCACGGTACGTGCAGCCTGCCATCTCCTTCCCGCTCACCGCTCTGCTCCCCTCCCCCTGTCCCTACCTGCCCGTTTCTCCCTACCTACCTCTCCATCCATCTCCCTACCTGCTAAGCTTTACTTCCCTACCTTGCTTGGGTCAAGCCCATATATGGAGGGACTCGGGGGGTAGTATCCAGCTCAGTCGCTGACTCGGACATGTGTAGCAACATGGGTGTCCGCCTGCTTCGTCGCCACGGCCGCGCTGCTGTGGACCGCGTCCAGCACCGCGGAGATGCAACCGCCGCCGTTTCCACATCAGCAGCAGCAGATGCAAGGGGTCGTTGCTGACGACGACGGCGGCCAGCTCAACCTGTACCTGAGGAGGAGGAAGCGGCTCGTCGTCGCGGCGACGGTTACGGGCGTCTTCATGGGCTTCGCGACCGTGATATCGTGGATCGTGGGCGCCGTGGCCGTGCTGGACAAGAAGGACGAAAGAAAAAAGCAGAGGCAGGCCGCTGCCGCCGCCGCCACCACTGCCACTGCCACTGCCACCGACACGCCCGCACCAACCAAGGACAAGGAGGACAAGCTGTCATGATCAAAAGTATCTTATTCTTCTTTGGAAAACAGGCCGCGTGGGCGGTCTCGACTATGCCCGGCATTTGTCACTGCGCCACATGGCATGCACCTCCGTGGTATCTAGAATGTCATGCAGAACCCGACCAGACATGGAAAAGGGAAACAGACAAATTGAGCCAACAACGCCGCGCTCGTGAAACAATGATAAGGATGCCACCCCGTCGCCGCTCCACAAACAGATGCACTCGCCTTCAGGCCGGTTTCTGCGCTGTCACCACCACCGCGTCAAACATGGCGTGCACGTCCTTGCGCCTCGAGGCCGCCCTTACCCTCCAGTTCACCATCTCTACCGACTCGGCAGGCCAGCCCAGGATGTCGCGCAGCAGCACCGCCGTGAAGGCCTCGACGCCGTCGTAAAAGTTCATGGCCATGAAAGCGCCGACTTCTTTGAGGCGTGGGTCCCTCGGCCAGGTGCCAACGGGCAGCTGGAATCGCTGCTCGTCGACACGAGCGAAGCCGACATCGCGTGCCCACCCAGCAAAGTGCGGAGCCGGGTCCATGGTCCGGCCGACCTTATCGCCCGCGGCCTTGAGACCGTCCATGAGCTCGACGAGGGGGTTGTCGGGGCGCAAGGTGTCGTCCTCGGAGTAGACGGTGTGGTCGATCTCGTGCAGCTCGACCCAGCCGCCGGGCTTGAGGCTGTCGTAGATCTGGCGGAAGAGGCGTGGCCAGTCGCGGATGGAGGCGGCCATGTGGCGGACGTGGACGTAGTCGTAGCGCTCGGGCTGTGCCCAGTCGAGCTCGGCATCGTCGATGATGAAGCGGACGTTGGAGGGTACCCAGGTTGGCTGGATGGGGCTGAGGTCGTTTCCAATGACATCTGCGCCGGGATACAGGTCGCCGAGGTGGATGGGCCAGATGCCGGTGCCAGTGCCAACGTCGAGGACACGCAAACCGTTGGGGTCAATGGGCGCGAGGAAGAGGCGGTCGTCGAGGAGGCGGAAGAGGGCGTGATGCATCATGTCGAGGCGGTCCTGCTCGCGCTCGTCGTTGGGAAAGGGGTACGAGCCCGACTGGTACGAGTGGTAACGACGACCATGCTTCCACTCGAAACGGAGGATGCTGCTGCGGAGCGAGGTGCTGGCGGCCGAGGGCGCCGCGTTCCCGTACGTCGAGTCGGCTTCGTCCGTGTCCACCTCGACACGCATCAGCGAGGGCGGGCGCTGCACCTCCATCGGGGCCGGCGTCGGCGTTGTTGCTGCGGATGTCGTGTCGTCCATCTACCTCGCAGGGGGTGAGAGGGACGATGACGATGCGCTCATGAGAGAGAGGGGGAGAAGTGACTCGCGGGACGGGCTCGCAATCCACTGAGTGACCTAGGGAGGCTGCACTACGAGAAGAAACGAGTGAGTCGGACGGGCCGGGCCAGCGTGACGGCGGAAGGTCAGGCCAACAAATCTAGAGCTCGGCCAAGATGAGGAGAATACTGCGGAAAACTCCTTGCCGATGCGGCGTGTAATGCGACGAGACGATCGGCTCGTAATGAGGCGAGGTGAGGCGCGGCACGGTAAGATGAGGTGAGGCGAGGTGAGAGGTAAGATACCAAGTCGGCGGGGAGGGTACGCGTCGCCCGGGCTATTTTGGTTGGGTTGGGTTGATATTACAAAGGTCCGTATGTACGAAGAAAGGCACAGCTGGTATGACGAGGCGATGCTGCGGGAGCAGCATAGAGCAGTACAGAGGCGGGTACTGTACTGTATTATTGCAAGTTGTAAATATGGTGCTGGGCGCCCTTGAGGTGCGTAGCAGAAACGGTAGATGCGTGCGAGTCAAGAAGGAAGGAGCAGGATGGAGGAGACGTCGCATAACAGGAGTTAATATGGAAGGGACGGGGGGAGCCGGACAGGGCTGCAGGCAGGTGCTGGGAGGTGCGCGGGTGGTGCTCAAGGTGGTGCCGACGGCCGTTGCGCGCGCCCGCGGCGGGCCAGTCCAGTCCTGCTCGATTCCATCCAATCCACCACCCCATCATCCGTCCATCCATCCATCCATCCATCCGCCGACATCCATCCATGATCCATCCCATCCATCCCTCCATCGGCTTACCTCTGCCGCCGATCCCCCGGCGCCACGTGGGGACCAAGGTTTTTGGGGGGGCGCAGGGCCCGCCAGCGTCTGCTTGTTGTTGTCTTCAGCGGCCCGAGGGCTGTCGGTCTGGCGGCTCGTGCTGGGACACGGCACTGGAGCTGGAGCGACCTGCTTGCCGTGTCTCAGCAGCGGCCACCTCACCGCACAGCGCAGCTCAGCGACCCCTCCAGGGCTACGACCTACCTGACGATTATGTATGGATTGCCCGCCTTCCACACACGCCTCGCTGCGACGCCGTCCTTGTCCCTCCCTTGAGCTCCCTCTCCCTCCCCCTCGTGCGCCCAATCGCCAGGGCGCTCATGGCGCCACGCGCAAGCCATGCCGGTCGAGGAAGAGGCGATCGGAGGACAGGCACGCATGTCGGAGGGGAACGGCAGTTGAGAATGGTGCTGGGGTCGCCAGCCAGCGGGCGCTGCTCTCCTCAGTGCTCACTTCCCCTCCCCCCGTCACATCTTATATCTCACCGCGCCCTTGTCCGCCGCCTGTCTGGCCGCCACAACTACAAAAGTAAGTTGCATGCCTTTGGGCTTGCTTGTCGACACGACCAGCAGCAGCAGCAGCGGCCAGACCAAGTCGATTACGACGCCTCTCCCGTCGGAACGCTGCAGACAGCCGGCGCGGTGCGACGTGTCGGCCAACGTCTCTCCGTCGCCCACCTCCCACGGAATCCGTCGCGCAGCAGCAGTAGCAGCCCAGCCGAGGATGGAGGTCAAAGCAACGGTCCCCCTCCACCCTCCACCCACGGCAGATCTAGCGTGTCTTCAACGGCGTTGCAGCCGCCCTAAAGATTGCGCCCAGTCCGGGCACCCTTTCCTTGCCGGGGGCTTCGTGTGTCGCCCAATTGCGCCACGGGAAACCCCCGCTCGCTCAATGCCATTTTCGCAGCGCCGCCAAGGCAATGTGACAATCTGCAGGCCTTCAGTGGATGCTGGTCGTTCTCCCCCACAGCCCGCCCTGCCTGCGCCTGCGCCGACAGCTGCGCATGTCGCGTCATGCCAATTGAGCGCCCGCCTGCCTCGTCTCGTACGACTCTGCGCCGTCCAAACCTTACAGACCCCCCGGCTGGAAATGCAATTGCCCGCCGCCGCAAGCCCTGCAACCAAGGCCAGGACTCTCGGCATCCCTGACCGCTCATTGCGCTCAGGGAACAGGGCTCGTCTGTTGCGTCTACTCGGAACGCATACGGACTCTGTACCGTTCTTCGACAACGCGCGCGGCGAATGCTGTACGCCCGTCGTTCACACCTTCCTCACGCTGTCTGTCGAGGATCAGGGCATTCAGCCGTCCATGGAGGACAAAAACAAGGGTCTCTCATTCATTCAATTGGGCTTGTTGTTTGCTTTTGCGGGCGTCGGCCCGGCCCTGCTCGGTGTCTGCCCAAAACGGCCACAATGCGCAAGCCCCCTGGCACACCGGCCGCCCCCCCTGCCGCGCTCAAGCCCGACGCTTTGAACCGTTGAGGACAGCCACCAGCTTGCATGCCAAGCGCGAGGCGTGACTGCGAGACCATGCGGTGCACGGCCGCGGGCCGAGCTTCCCTCCTCGTCCGCCCATGACATCCCCTTCACCCGCCGCACCACGTCGTACAACGTAAACACTTCTGGCTCGGAACGTGCACGCACCGCGCTGGATCCTTTTTATTCCATTTTGACCCTCATCGTCGCGCAATGCCCATGAGTACGCCGTCCTGCCCGCACAATGCTGTTCCGCTCGCCCGCCATTCCTCTGTCCGGCTAGCATTATGCCGGTGTCCTTCGTCTGTATACCACTGCCCGAGCATGACAAATCGTTTCAATGTTGAATGTACCGAGGAAAGCAGAATAGGGATACAGATTCGGCGCCGGCCCATCATCGCTTGACAATCGTCTTTTCGACGCAATCGAGGAACTGACGATAGTTAGCGCAAGGACTCGCGAGTTTCGTTCCAACACATTCGACTCACTGTTTCGGGCACGACACCCTGGTTGCCGAGATACCGCGCCATGCTCTTGACGAGCTCGACCTGCTCGTCGGGCCCCAGGCTGGTGATGGCCGTCTCCAGCACCGACCCGAGCGTGACCTTGTGCACAGCGATGAAGGTGTGGTAATACATGTAGGCGAAGAAGCCCATGATGAACTGGCAATCCATGCGGTCCGTCATGCCTCCGTGTCCGGGGATCGAGTCGCCAAAGTCCTTGATCTTGAACGTGCGCTTCAGGCCCGACGCGAAGAAGCCGCCGAACGGTGCGATGAGCGACGCGAACGACGCCAGGACCAGCGCGTGGATCTGCATCGGCGCGAACGTGAGCGACATGTTCGTGTTGGGCGGCAAGAAGAAAAAGTGCGGCAGCTGGTACGTGCGAGGCACGAAGACGGGGTTCGGGTCGCACTCGAGGCCGGTGAAGATGGTGGCGCCCAGGTCCTGCATTCATCGAGTCAGCCTTGCTCCTCTCAGTCAAAGCATGCGCGGCGCGTGTTAGAAAGGACTCACATTGACAGGGCAGATGAAGTACTTGGACCGAATCATGAGGTTAACCAGCAGCATGGCCCACAGCAGCGTCATGATCCACGCGCCGACGAAGCCCTCGACCGTCTTCTTCGGGGACAGCTTGATGAGCTGCGTGCGGCCAAACGCGATGCCGCACACGTAGGCAAAGATGTCGTTGGTAATGACGAGCGCGGCGGGCAGGAAGAACCAGATCATGCCCTCAAAAATGTTGTTCATGACAAAGTGCGCCTGCACAACGATGAGGTACAACGCCATGTGCGTCCAGGCAAAGTTGGTAAACTGGAACTTGTAGTGGCCGGCCTTGAGGGTGGCGACGAAAGAGACGAAGCCTGTGGCTGCTGTTTAGTCCTGGACCTTGGCGACAAGCCAGTGTTGAGGCAGGTGAGCTTACCGAAGACGTAGAGGATGAAGCTGATGAAGCGGTGATGCGTGGCCAGCGGCAGCAGCACCTTGTCTACAAGGACAATGTGCTTGAAGTAGTAGATGACGCTCTCGCCGTAGAGAAAGTACATGGTGGTGGCGAGCCAGTACCAGTTGAGGCTCTTGGTGGAGCGAATGGAGCGGGCGCGGCTGGGGACGTTGGCGATGGCGATGACCTCCTTGAAGGAGACGATCTGGACGGCCGTGACGATGGCGATGATGTAGATGTGGCCCATGAAGAGGGCGCCGAAGAAGATGGCAAGCATGCTGAAGGTCCAAAACGTGCGCGTCATGAAGTTTGCCTTTTTCTTTTGGTATTCTTCCTCGGGCGTGGGCTGCTTCTGTGGCCGGGAGTCAGTAAGTGTCGCCGCATAGGTCGCGTGCGCGCGCAGAGAACGTGCGTCCGCCGCCGCTTGTCAACGCACCTCTTGCACCGGCTCAAGCTGAGCCTGAGCCTTGGAACGGGTCCTCGTGGGCGAGCCGGAGCCATCTTCGCTGCCGCTGAAGCTCGACCGCCGGCCGTCGGAGCCGGCGATCTGGCCGTTGTGGTTGAAGCGGACGCCGCGCCGTGTTCTGCCCATGATGAAGGCTGGGCTGCGAAGAGGGCCGAAAGGGGAGGGCGGTCGGTGAGTGTACGCGCGTGTGATCGGGGCCGGGATGCCGCTATGTTGCGCGCATGCACGAAGGGGGGGTTCTGCTCGAGCGGTGGACGAGGTTCGTGGAGGAAGGCCGGGGGCGGTAGGAGACACGCGGAGCGCTCGGGGTATCTAGCAAGTCCGGGAAGAAAAGTTGCGGAGTCGAGCGGACTTGTGGCGGGCTCGCAAATGCGAAGGCGTGTGCGCGCGCTGGGGAGAGGCGAGGACGGGACGAGTCGTCGCGGGGAGGGGCAGCGGCAGCGGCAGCGGCGTGAGGTCTCGACGTCGTCGCTCCGGGAGGTTGTGGAGGAGGATGGGGGTGGTGGGTGTTGGAGAGGAGGGCCAAGGCGGCGGGCGGCGGTGGTTTGTGGTGACGACGGACTGCGAGAGAGAGTCTGGGGAGCTGGGCTGGGCAGGATGGGGATGGGATGGGATTTTTCCGCCTGCTGCTTGCTGCTTGCTGCTGCTGCTGCTGCTGCTCCTAGTAATAAAGTTGGGGCAGCTCCTTAGTGGCTGGCGGGCAGCCCGCGACCCCGAGGCGGCCAATTGAACTGGCTTATTGGTACGGGAAGGGCACTGTCGCCGGGCTTTACGTCACTCCCGCCGCGGCCTGCCTGCTTTGTGGCGGCCGCCGGGGGGCCTGCTTGCAGCGAACAATGCCACTGAAGCTTGACGTGTCGTGTCGTCTGTGCCCTGGTACCCGTGTTGCGTGCAGATTCCCGTCGCCCTGGGCATGGAGCTTCTTCACGCGACCACGGACGGCACCTCGTAGCACCTGCACCAAACACTTTTGTCTGCATCGAGAGCACTGCATCCTCCCCCCTTCATTCACCCAACCCTCGCTGGGAAAGCGGCAGCCCGCCACCCCCAGCCAGGACAGAAGGGACCCTAGGAGTCTGTAATTAGCGGACGACATTAGTGCCGGGCCGCTGGGGGCAGACAGAGGGGACGGACGTGGAGGACACGACACGCATGGCATGGCATGCACGGCATGGGTTGGGGCAACGTAGCAGTTAGCTCCTCTCTCACCCGCGCGTCAGCACTGTTTCTCAGAAGGGTGCAGGAAGCGAGCGAGTGCCCAACGGCTCGCGCTCAGGCAAGGGGGGTGAAGACTCAAAACAGCACGGATAGGAGGCGGAGTGGCTGCCAGCGCCGGCGCCGCGACGACGGGAGCTGTTAGACAACCTCGGGACCTCCAGAGGTAGTGGCTGCAGCGGCGACTCCCACTGGTGAATACCTAGGCCGAGACTCGGGCCAGAAGCTTGTCGCTGCCTGTGCCTCCTCCGTACAAAGTCGCGAGTGTCCAATTGGCGTGCGGAGGACGCATGGCGAGGCACAAGACGCTCATCGCCGCAGGGAAACCCTCTCGTTGTAGAATCACATGCCACTGCGCGAAGGAGCAAAGTACGAGTCCGGAATAGAAGCTCAACAGCTGGTCCCTGCTCGGCTCCACCGAAGCACCCTCTGTCTTCCCAACAACAACGACAGGGTCTGTGGAATATTCGTGTGTTCCTCAAAACGCGGTCTCGTGTTACTAGGCGCGCAAGCCACAGTGCACGCGCTTCGCCCGTCAGCCACACCTGCACCTCTCACCAGCCCCAACTCCGACCTTTACTGGAAAACGTGACCTCGCGTCACAGCGCTCCGTCGCCATCGACCAACACGTCGCGTTTGCCGAAACCCACCGCATAGCCCGCCCGATGGACCTCGCCGCTTCGATGTCGCCCGCGCGTCGCATCCGGAGCAATGGACATTGACGAGTTCTCAGACGACGGATTCGACGACCTCACCGACAACGTCCTGCAGGAGCTCGAGCGAAACGCCATCCAGCTCACCCAAGGCCGTGCCCTGCACCCAAGCCAGCAGCGTCAGCCTAGTCAGGATGTCCTGCAGCACCGGTATTCCGACTACGGATGGGAGGAGGAGGACGATGATCTGGACACCACCGAGGTGACCAACGATGTGGGAGCGCCCATCGGCCGCCCCGTCGTCGACAAGACGCTCCAGCAACGGCAGCAGCACCACCCCGCCTCAACCCACGTTCCTCGTCGGCCCATCCCTCCTGTGCCGAACCCACGATGGAATCCCACCGTTGATCCAACGAGCCGTCAGGCCGCTCCTATGGCCGCCGGTGCTCGCCTGCCCAGCGCTGCGGCCCCGAGCCAGCAGTTTCCCGGCTCGCAGCGCTTCCAGCCGCAAGGGCCGGGCCGCATCAACCAACCTCAGCCGAGCCAGTTTGCGCGGCCGGCCCTGCCACCGGGCGGCCGGTTCCCCGCGTCCCAGGCGTCTCAAGCCCCATCAGTCGACATGGTGTCGGCCCTGCAGCAGCGCCTGAGGACTCTCGAGACGGAGCTTCACATTGCGCGAGGCGAGGTGTCCATTATCCGAGCCAACTCGACCAAGGCGCAGCAGGAATACGACGCCCAGGTTGCGCGGCTCAAGAAGCTCAATGCGGAGCAGCTGGCCAAGCAGGAACGCATCGTCGAAGCCGCCGTCGCGGCCGAGAAGAGCGCCAACACGGAGCTGCAGTTTCTCCAGCGGGACATGCGTGAAGTTAGCGACCGGGCGCGGAGGAGAGATACTGCCGGTCCTGCCGCGGCCGCGGGAGTTGTGACTACACCAAAGAAGGCCAACAAGACGTGGGGTATCGCCGATGGCTTCGACGAGATGGACATTGCCCTGAGCCCTAGCAAGGGCCAGGGACGCGGCAAGGCCTCCGGCTCGGTTGCGGCCAATGTTGGGGAGAGGACGCCGAGCAAGGGCAAGCGGAAAAGGCCGGTGATGGACAGCCCGATAGCGGCTCTGGAGACGCACACCGAGGACGTCGAAATGGGAGACGACAAGCCGGCTTCACAGGGGTTGCACTCAACTATGGTCATGGCCGCCCCGACAGCACCATTCGAGGTAAGCTGGAGGGTATAAATGCTTGATGGCTATGATACTTACTCGCCGCGTATAGTTCCTCCAACTGGTACTAGATCACGGATCCTTTCATCAGCAGCCCCCCACTTTCGACACGCTGTCGCGCTTCTCATTTCCTTCAGACCCGACAGGCACATCATTTGCCGCCATGATCTTCGAGAAGCTGCCTCTGATGGGCAACCCGCACCGGCCGATGCAGCTGCTGGTGGATTTTGCGGAGCACATCGTTGCTATGTGGACTCGCTGCCTCGAGGAGCAGTTCTGGGAGCCGGTCAAGTACCTCGTCGCGCTTGTGTCATTTACTTTTGACCTACACGTCATCTCAGTGGCGCCGCTCGTGGTCGGGAACCTGGTCCCCGTCGCCCAGTCGACGATACTTACCCTCGCTGAGGCGCGCCGTCGAGCCCCAGATGGCAATCTCTCCAACAGCGACGAGTACGCATTCTTTGAGGAGCACATTGACACGACGCAAATACTATCGCTACTCACACTTTCTGCGCTTGCATGCGCAACGACACCCAGCGAGACGGAGAATGGCTTTGAGTGCACAGCAAGCGGCTTCTGGAAGCTCATGTCATTGGATCTGGTGCTACTGCTCCTGACGCCACGACAGCTCTTTAGCGATATCCTTGTCATGCTGGACCTTCTGGCCTCCTCGTCGCTGCCGGGGTCCATTGGCCCTGTCACTGACGAAGCCGAGCCCACTGTCATCGCGCGGGCCATCATCGAACGGGTGTCAGCCAAGTTGACAGAGCCTTTGCGGGCGACGACGACGCCGGAGCAGCGCCGGAGACTGCGCCTGGCCGCACTGCGAACGCTGGTTGCGTTTGCGCGATATCCCTTTGGCGCAATGCAGCTTGCCTGCCACGACAATGCACTGCCACGTTTGGTAACGTGTCTGAGCACGTCAATAGACGACTTGTACGACCAGCCAATTCCATCGTCCGCCGTTGACCCTTTGCCACGGGCCATTACGTCCTCCTCGATCAGAATCCCACAATCGACCACGTCGACGGACCTTTTCAAGATCATCTCACAGAGCGTCGCCTTGATCCACACGCTCGTCACGAATGAGAAGACATCCAACGTGGCAGACATCGGCCAGAAGCTGTCCATGACGCACGGGGGCAGCCAGCGGTACCTCATTGCCCTCGGGAGGCTCACTTTTGCGGAGGACTTGATTATTGAAAAGGGCATCGAGGTGGAGGTGGTGGATGCGGCGCACGAGCTGTTGGAGATGGCGGTCACGCCCGATGAGGGTTTTGCCGTAGGCGAGGCGTTCGGGACATGAGGCCATTGAGGAGTCACGAGGGTAGGTGGGACATTGGATGACGTTGGAATATACCCGTATATGCAGGAACAGGAACATGTGCTTTACAGCGACACAGACTCTAACCTTATTTACACAATTGAACAAAACAATACCCTCCTCATCTTGGGTGTCCACGCTCGACTCCCTAGACCTCGCATATATGCAGACGTCTTGCAATCACGCGCTTCAGCCGTTGTAGCTGACGTGGACGTGGTCCCTGTACAAGGAGGTTAGCACAGTCGCGCAAGCGCTTGGGTCTCTGCAAAGGCGAGCAGCCCGGCACAGGGGGTAAGAGCAAAAGGCACGAACGGACAACGACGTACCAGTGGTTCTGCGTCAGGTCGCCGCGGTCCTCCATGGTGCGCCACTTGTCCCACGACTTCTCGGCGCCGTCGGTGGTCGGGCTCCAGATCTTCTGGCCCCAGATGACGTACTTGAGCTTGAGGGCGGCGCGGTTCTTCATGACCCATTCGGCGATTTCCTTGCCGGAGAGGGTGGCGACCTGTTCGGGGGGAGGGCATGGCACCGAGTTAGCATATTCTGTTCTGTACTGCTGCCCCTTGGTCTTACACACAAGCAGCAATGTGAGGAGGAGCAGGTGGGCGGGAGGGGAGAACTCGTTCGTGTAAGGGAGACACAGGCAAGTACAGCACGGCAGGGTCAAGCAGAACAAAGCAAGGGGATGCAGACTTACACCTCCGCCATCGGCGCACATCATATCCGTCGCCAACCCACAGCAGTGGTCCGACGTCCCCGGGCACTTACAATCCCTCGTACAAAACACCTCCCGCACCCTGCCCGGAAACGCCGCCACGATCTTCCTGGCCCCCTCCACGGCGTTCTTCTTGCACGCGCCCACGGCGGGGATCTTGGGCGCCGCCGGGTACCCGCCGAAGCCGCCCGCGGGGCTGGCGCAGCACTTGAACTGGGCCGGGCCGGGGCAGAACGCCCTGGGGGACGTGGCGCCCGCGCAGTCGCTCTGCCAGCGGCAGTTGCCCCCGGGGAAGGAGGCGTCGCCGCACTTGGGCTTGGAGCAGCAGCGCACGGAGGCGGCGTCGGCGGGGCAGGCGCCGGGGATGGTGGTGCCGCCGGCTTTGCTGCAGGCGGAGGTGCTGACGCACACGCCGGACAGGCCGTTGGGGCCGTAGCAGGGCTCGTTGAGGGCGGCGAGGGCGGGGGAGGAGGAGCTGGCGGCGAGGGAGAGGGCGAGGAGGAGGAGACGCATGGTTGTCGTTGCTGTCGTTGTTGTTGTTCCTGTCGGGGGGATGTTGGGTATTGTTGGACGGTTGTTTCTGGGCGGATAATATGTTTTGAGAAAGTATATGGCCGGTGGTGTATCAAGAAGCCCCGAGGAGGTTGCTGCCGGCTGGGAGGTAACCTCGCGAAGGAGTCGTGTAAGTGGTGCTCTGCGTTTTATATACTTTCACACAGCCATACACAACCCTATGTTAGACTGAGAACGCCCAGAACCGTCGAGGGCCAGCTGGCTGCCTCCGTCAATGCCTCGTCCACCCACGCTGCCCCTAGTCCGACCCTCGTCATGTTGCAGGCTGTTTGCCCCATGATCGTCAGCTGCTACTCCTGCTGTCCGCCGCCGCCCCGCGCAACCGAGCGCCGATCTCGAATTCATCCGTCCTCTATTATCTCGCGCCTGCAAGCCCCTGAGCTGAACTGCGCTGTCCGCCTGCCTGTGCGCAGTGTCCGTGGTGAGTGGCGGCAGTCGAACACTCAAAGAACGCCACGTCGGGTCATCTTCATCCTGTCGTGCCCAGCTCATCCATGTAGACTAGGCAGGTTGGCAAGGTAGACATCGGGGCAAGCTGGGGGCCAAATTCCCACCGGCACACATCCCCCCCTCATCGATCGCCCGCCCAGTGCGGCAAGGCACATGCCCCCCCAAAATAAATTCAAGCTTAAATTGAGCAGGACGACCCCTGCCCCGGGCCGCCGATGAAGTCATCCCTTCCCATCCATCCCATCTCATCCACCCATCCCTCCCACTTGCCCTACCTACCTGCGCGTGCAGTCCGCCGCTGCAGGATGAGTGGTGCGCGCCGCCGCAGTCCAACCGTCAAAGGCGAATGAGCCGATGCTTCTATTTTAGACACCGACGGCAGATCGGTCTTGGCGTGGCTGAATATCCAACCCGGCGACGCACGCAGGCGTGCGCTCTGAAACGTTGTGCCTTGCAGCTGGACCTCGTTCGGCGAGTGAGGGAATCGGCTGGGTTGGTCCGGCTTACGGGCGATCGCCCGCGCTGTGTCTCTTCGTCTCGTTGCCTTGCAGACGCACGTGGCCTGCTCTTCGAAGGCATAGGCCATGAACGAATAGACTTGTCAACACACCGAACGGGCCCAGTCGTCGACGGAGAAGGCTTGACTGGCTGAAGAGAGCGTGCCGTCAGCAACTTGACTGGACCGTACTAGGCATCTCAGCTCGCTCAGCTGCGACCATCATCGGACCAGCTTTAAGGCACGGTCAATTACACGCTCCAGCGCCTCACAATACGTAGAAAGTACGGCAAATACGACAACAGGGAACAGTGAAGCCATGTATTGTTTTGATAAGAAATAACCGCAAATGTCAAATGGTCTCGCCACTATGCTTCGCGCACCCGAGGCCGTTACTGAAACCAACCCAAATCGAATCCAGCCGTAACGCGCCAACGCCTTGTTCCGTCAAGATCAAACACACTTTATAACCATGCCACCTTAATCGCTGGCCGGCATCTCGCGGCCAATGATCTTGTGGCCAGAGGCTCCCACAATGTGTCCGTTGGCGTCGATGCAGTAGGCGCTGTTGCCGCTGGCATAGCACGTCTCGCCATCATCAGGATCGTTCTTGGCGCCACTACCATGAGGCTTGCCCTTGTCGGGGTTGCCAGGCGAAGGATAGTCGCCGGGCGGCGGATAGTAATCTCCAGGGGGAGGATAGTTGTTGTCACCCGGAGGCGGGTAGTAATCTCCAGGAGGAGGGTAGTTGTCGTTGGGCGGGGGGTAGTTCGGGGNGTTCGGGGGAGGGGGCGGGCGAGGATAGTCGCCAGGAGGCGTCGAGTAGGGCGGCGGAGGGTGGCTGCCGGAGGGAGGATGGTAGGGAGGCGGGGGATGCTCGCTGGAAGGCGGGTGGTATGGCGGCGGCGGGTGCTCGCTCGAGGGAGGGGAGTGCGGAGGAGGATGCTCGCTAGACGGGCTGCTGTGAGGCGGCGGAGTGTGATCCGGGTGAGTATGCTCGGGATGCGTGGGCTCCGGGTGGGTGTGAGGACCAGTGGGAGTCGTCTTTACCGGGGTTGATTTGTTGTGCGTTTCCTTGGTGCACGAGTGCGACGAGTGATGGCTCTCGTGCTCGTGGTCGTGCTCGCAACCGCACGTCGTCGTGGCGTGGTGGTGGGTAGGGTCTGACGGCTTCTCATGCATCGTCTTGAAGCTGACGGGGCAGAGGTTGGCGCAGGCGCCATACTCGAGGTATGTCGTGACCACGACCTCGACTGTCCGGACCTGGTGCTCGTGGAGCTCGTGCTCGTTGGCGAGGGCCGGTGCGGCCAGGAGAGCCACCAAGGCGGCCAGCTTGGCCCAGGTGCCTCGGCAGCGGTTGTCGCTGTTGACCATGGTGAATTAGTGCTGCACGAAGTCGCGTGAGCGGTGTTGTCGACGGTGAGTGGGCGAGTTGGCGATATGAGTCTCACCAGAGGCTGCTTGGTTCCGAAGCCATGGCCGGTGTTGCTTATATAGGTGTTTGTCCTGTTGCCGGCGTCGCCCAGGAGTCGAGGGCCGAAACGCGACTGTCGTCCAGCGGCCGTTTCCCGACGCGATATGGAATGCTCGTCAATGGTGGGGAGAAGGTGAGATACTTGCTCCCATCGGAAGCAGTTCCCGAGGACCGCTGCTCGTGGAACGAGACGGTGCCGTACTCCGAGGTAGCGAGAGGGTCAAACCAAGACAATCGCGTGCCTGCATACCGAGAGGCAGGCCATGCCCTCGTCGACGCCCTCCATCGGAAGGGCGACGCCCGCAAGACAGGAGAGATTGGAGGCCATGGGCAAACTGCCTTGGCGTTCCAGCAAAGTCGTTCTCGAACGCTGTAGGCTCTCTTTACGAACCCATCGTCAGTGCAACCGTCCAGGCGATGGCCAGGGCGAGGTCGAGCCTTGGCGTGTTTACATGCCCTTTTCTAATCAGGGTCATACGTGGGCAATCACCTCGTACCATGGAGCTCACATCCCAGAAAGGGGTGCTCCTCAACAAGCTTCTGAATTGACAGCTTGCAAACCATCGATTGCCTTTACGATGCAGTCGGTTCAGTGCATCGCGTCGAGACATGACGAGAGCCTCGCTGTACGCTGATCAGTCGCGAATCCCAAGGCACGCGTTACCGCGACCGATAGAAGCGCGTGGCCATCAAGGGTCCGCCGTCCCTTCCTACGCGAGTGTCGCGTTAGCTGCCATCCGGAACATGGGCCTTGGGTTCCGGACTCTGGCGCCATCCATGTCTCACCTCCGAGGTGGTCAATGCCTGTGAAGGGCAGGTTGAGCCCACTACGGCGCGGTCCTTGATGCGCCGGCCAGCCGACAGTCACATCGTGAGGAAAAGGAGACCGGTCAATTTCGAGGGAGCCACAAGTTGGCATGCAATGGCGATGGAGGAGAAAAGACGGATGCGGGAGCGATGCGAGGAAGGAGGTGAGGTCGTTGGCTGGTCACGGCACGTGACAACCCTGGGCTACCTCGGGCTGGCTCCTCGACATCAAATCGTCCGACACGCGAATGGGAATTTTTGACACGCGCTGAAGAGTGGCCGGGGCACATTGGGGGTTCGACCAAGTCCTGCAAGTATCCGCAGACTCGTGCAAAGGACGCCGTTGTTGACGATCTCCCGTCTGGGCTCCGGATCACGACCCGGCCGGACGGCCTGCCAGGATGGCAACAGCTATTCTCGTTTATAGTCTCAGCTGAGAGGTCGAGACCGTTTCGAGTACGTATGTAGATGTAAAGCCTCGGTCCCCTGCCATTGCCTTGACTAATATTAATATGATTATTCTGCTTGGCCTCGCGGACCTGCCTGCATAGTGAAAGCAAAACAACACTGCAAGTTGTACATTGGTATGCGCACAGCCCACGATTGTCTCAGCCAACGCGTCCAGCCCCCAGTGTATCCAAAAGATTTCACCAACCAACCCAAACTCCATGAACCCTCATCACTCATGACCAAACCCGTAAACGCCCGCTGTACTCCGTACATAGCTGCTCGATGTCCTACAGACCCATGACCCGCCTGAGGCCGACGTTCTCAATGACCCACGACGGGCCCAGCTTAAACGCCCCCGGGCCCTCGAGCTTGCCGTCGAGCTTGCCTGTGGCCATTTGCGTCAGGAAAGTCCCGAGCTGCTCGGTGGGCGAGTGCATGCCCCTGAAGGCGTTGCGGATGAGCGGGCCCAGCGGCACCATGCCGACCCGGTAGAGCATGCCCGGGTCCGGGATGTACGGCTTGATGGCGTCGTGGCGGGAGGGGTCGACAAAGGCCGGGCGCACGGAGTCGGCCTGCAGGGACGCGGGGAGCTCGCGCGTCAGGTCGGCGAGGGCCTGCTCCGTCTCGCCCTTGACGCGGGCGAAGATGGCGGAGAAGCGGCCGGGGGTCTGAGTGGCGCCCTCGCCCGAGACGTAGATGAAGCGGAAGGGCTTCTGCTGCTCTTGCTGCTGCTTTGCGTCGCCGTCGGAGGAAGAAGAAGAGGAGCGCAGCGTGGCAAAGGAGCGCGCGGCGGCGAGGGTGTAGTCCTTTGTGATCTTGACGTACTCGTCGGCCGAGACCTTGGTCTGGCTGATGCCGAGGGCCCAGACGCAGCCGTCGGCGTCGCGCAGCTGGTCGAGCAGCTTGGCGTCGTACGTCTCGAAGTCGCGGTGCAGGATGACGCTGACGCGCGGGTCGCGCCGGTCCTCGGCCATCTGGACGGGCTTGCGGCTGAGGATGGAGATTTTGGTCACGTCCTTGGCCTTGATCATGGCGTCGAGGACGGACGAGCCGACGAGGCCGGTGGCGCCGGTGAGGATGAGATGCATGGCGGGTGACGGGTGGTGGTGGTGGTGATGGTGATGATGTGGTGAGGGTGAACGCTGCCGGTACAGAATATGGAGGCTTCCAAAATGTCGGCGATGACTTGTACGAAGGAAGTATGGATGGATGGACGGGGGCTGAGGACGTGTTGTTATCGCCGCAGCTTGTATGAGCTTGCAGGCTTCTAGTTGTTCAAGTCGATGAGAGACCGAATCATTCTCATCATCCCAAGACAGGCGCGAGATGAATGTTAAATATCACCACCCACCAGACTTTTGCCGTCGCCCTTTCAGCCAGTGCCAAAAAAGCCACCAGAAAAAGTGTAAGTGGTGTTTACGCACGTCGGAGATGGCGTTCCCCGTCTGGGCCCGTTAACTCCACGAGCCGCAACCCTTGTCTTTTTTCCGCCTCTCGCATTCCGCTCAGCCCTGCCCTGCCCGTCCTCGCCTTGCCTTTCTCTTTCTCGCCGCCGCACCACCGGAGGCTGCCATGCTCACGTCATACGCAGTCAGCAGCACCGGAGCTCGACTACGTGGACCGCTTTCGATGTCGGCTGCCCGTTAACACTGGACAGGATGGAACAGAGTTTACAAGGGTCCGTCCCGGGTTGTACGAAAAACCCTCCTCCTGCGACGCAAAGCACAGTGGTCGCAGAGTCGTGCACTGCATGAGGGCCAACCGCCCGTATAATAAACTACCTACTGTATGCCGAGGACGGCAGTTACTTTACCAGATACTGCTCAGAGTCGCACACCACTGTCTGATCCTTGACGCTGAAGCTGCACCAGTTGCCGTGCTGGCCACACTGCTCGAGTCAGTACGAAGCACTTTGACTGAATTGAAGATTGGGCCAGGACGCAGTGCGAAATCCGACTCATACGTACCGGATGCTCTGGGGGACATCTCAGAGCCATCAGTTTCCACTCTATGTCGCGGTGCTTGTTCCAGGCTCCGTCGCAAAAGGGTAGCTCGACGTGGCAGGTGTCGTCGCAGCAGACGTGCGTTGTGCGCCCTTTGCGTCAGCACACACAAGCAGCGAAACCAACAAGCACCCATTTGATGGAGGAGGGGGCAGCGAGAGGCAGGCATTGATTGATGTCTCGTTCGCGGGGCGTGGCGTTGGGACGTCCACTACTCACGCCTTGGAATATAGATGTGTTGCCGATGGGTACGGCCCAGGCCTCTGGTCTCTTGGCAACCACCGGTTGGTCGTGGGCGCTGTTCGCGCGCCGAAAGTGACGCTGCGCCCGGGATGGGATGGCGTGGAGGCCGAAGATGAGGGCGGCTAGAGAGACTTTCATTGTGAATGACAGAACCAGCTTGGTGGTCAACGCGACGAGGATCCCGATTTCATGGCAAGCCCTGTCCAGTCTCTACGAAGTATATAACAACTGTATCTACATCACATGCCCATCTCAAGTCATAGATAGTATTTCCCTCCAAAGGTTTGTCTTACGCGATGAACAGAGTCGCTCATGCTCGTTCAAACACTCGCAGCTCGTTTCATTACCCAACTGTATGTAATGGGATGGCCGCGCCGTCTCACCGTCGACTGGACAAAAACGAGGCCATCCCAGCGACAAACGTAATAACTTGGCCGCCCACCACTGTGACGCAACACGGGCCCGCGCCGTCCATGTCGGTGGACTGCAGGGCGGCTGGAGTTAAGGCACTGGCCCGAAGCGGCCCCGCCGACCCAGCCCAGCCCAGAGTCCGCCAGCGGCGGCGGCGGAGCTGGGCGGAGCGGAACTCCGCAGCGAGCTCAGTGCGTCGGCCGCGAGGGTTTCAGGCTGTCAGGCTGTCATCCGTAGACGTCAGCACGTCCTGCGTGATGACCACGCACGCGAGAGTGGTGTGCTTCACTTATCCTATAATATACCATGCCTCTATGCTGGCCGGTTGATCTGGTCAAGAAGGATTGTGCGTTGTCGAGGCCGGCTGCCACATGAGCCTAGTTCATGTTGCGGTCCTCACGACCTCAAGCGGTGCGATGCTTATCGTCGATGAGAGGAGAACCGATGACAAAAGTCGTGGCACGAGAAACTTCAAATAATGTCTGATTGTCTAATAATTCATATTCTCGTGACTTTGACTTTGACTTATATCATGATCGTGCGTTGCCTGATAACACAAGCACGCTTCTAGCCACTGCCCTCATGCTACCCTGAACCAGGTGTATATATCCACGCCACGCCACGCCACGCCGCTTGTTGCGAGTCCGTTTGCCAACTAAAATAGAACATGTAGGAAATGAAAAGGATGGGTCGAAAATGGAAGCGCAGATAGACAGAAAACCAAACGCCGCTGATCGTCGCTGGCTCCTCTCAGGGAAATACCGCCGCGCCCATAGCAAGAGCTACCACCGCAGCCACAACCGCAGGCCCGGCAGCGGCTTCAACACGCAGCCCCGCACCGCCGGCCGGCCGGCTCGCCTTGACGTTTACGTTTACGGCGATGCTGTCCCTCGCCGGCGTGTAGCCCACGGTGGGGAAGTCGCACGTCTTCATGATGAGGTTCATGTCTGTGTGCAACACGCCCAGGTCAGCCGCAGTTCATCATCAAAGCCCGTCTCAAGAGGGGGCGTATAAGTCGACCACATTGGGTATCAAGGGGGACCATGGTCGGTTTTATGGTGGGAATGATGGAAAAAGACGTACTGTTTTGCATGTCGCCGCCCTGCATGATGCAGTCGGCGCACAGCCCTGCCACCTGCGGCACGTCGAAGCTGCGATTCTTGCACACGCACTCCTCCTCGGGGCTCAAGCCATCCTCATCCCCATCGCCGTCGCCGTCTCCATCCCCAGCCCCGTCCTGCTCCATGCCCATCTTGTTACCCGGGTTCGTAGTCGCCGCACCACCCACGCTCGTCATCGTCGTCGACGGCGTCGGCTGCATCTCTGTAGTGCCACCGCCATTCTCGGGCAGGGCGTGGCTCGGCGCCGCTGCGGTGCTGCTGCTGGCGACGGTCGACGGCACGGGCGGGTTCATCGTCGTGCCCTGCGGCCCGTTGGCGCCCAGGGCGAGCCCCGTCGTGCTGATGGGTGGTGCTGGCACGGGGGAGGAGGAACTCGTCGCTGGAGGGGGCACGTCGGGGGTTCTGGTGGCGCGTTGGTCTGGTTGCGTCGTCGTCGTTGCGCTGGGTACGACAATGACGGGCGTGACTCTCGATACTCGCGGCGAGACCTCCTGCTGGACGGTCCAGACTTCTGACATCGTCGACGACAGCGCCGGGCCGTCCGGCGTCGACACCGCGAACCCAGCCGGGAGAGACGTCGGCGGCGCCACGAGCGTCACAAAGGACCTCTTCTCCAGCTCGCCGTTACCACTGCCGTCATCCTCACCGTCACCATTCCCCTCACCTGCATCGCTCGAGCCCTTCTCCTGTGCTGCCGTGGGCGACGCAGCCGCTGTCGTCTGATGCTTCGGCAGGTAGTCGACCCGCCGCCTCTTTGCCAGCCTGCGATGCGGCACGTTGCACAGCGCCGTCAGCTCGACCATCGGCCCGCAAATCGTCGCGCACCGCAGCGGTATGCTGTCCGGCGGGAGGGCGCCGCCGGCCGCGAGGCCCGGGAGGACCGCGGCTACCAGCAGCCCCGCGGCGTGCGGCGCTTTCATGGACGGCGGCTTCGGCGTCGACTTCGGGGGTTGCTGCGTCTCTCTCTCGTGCCGGAGCGGTATTATGCGTATCGTCGGCTGCTACCGCCCTTTCCCCCCTTGTTCCGTGAATGGTAAACGTAGATCTCGTGAGTTCGTCGTTAAAACCGACTTGAGGCTCCGCGTGTCGCCCCGCCTCGGCGCTGACAGAGAAGAAGAGAGTCCGGCAGTTCAGCATTCGATGACGATCCGACAGCCTTTCGAGATCAGGATACAATCAAGATCAATGCCCTCCCTCCCTCTTTGCAACGGCAACAACTCCAGAAAGACCCTCGTGGCTCGTCCTCGGACCTGAAACGCCATCTGAGAGAGCAGCCCCCCCCCTGGAGGGTTTGGCCTCCAGGCTCCGTGCATCGCCTCCCCGTGCGTCATACATCCATTCATCACCTACCTACGTACCTCCGCCAAACGGGACTGCCTCACCATGTTGCGCGATTCCGAAACCTGACACCTCGGCCGGGGAGGCGGCGGCAGGGGCTTCGATTGATTTCGAGCCCGCGGATGTGCCTCTTTTGTTTCCATCGGGAGGTTCGGGAAGGGGGGAGAGGGCCAAGGACGAAGGACGAATCGCCCGTCGTCATGGGAAAAGCTGAGACGCGGGTGGATCGTCGATGAAACACCACGGAGAGGGCATCCCGACGGCTGGTCCCCCCCCGCGTGCGTGGCGCCGCCGGGACCGCGAACTGCACTCATTATGGTGAGGAGAGCTGTCCACGCTGGGATAAAGGTTGTCGCAAGAGGGTTCTCGGACCGCTGCGGAGGCGTTCGTCCTCTCTCGCGCTCGCACGCGGATGATGGTGGCTGATCATACGTGGCTGTATGTTATTAAAGCCGACAGCTCCTGGTGTTTTAGAAGCAAGGACAACACGCTGCGTCCGCACTCATAATATCTCATGCGACCATGAGGCCAGAGTTATCGCTGTAAATTGATCTAGCAATATGAAGCCGCGCGTCGGCGGCATGGAATTCTTCAAAGCCCCCTTCTAAATCCCGACAAGTTTGCTCCTTGAGAGCGGTATCGTTGCTCTTCCAATGTGTCCGCCCATCCACGACGAAACAGTTTTATAGCCCCCCTTGCCCCCCTCTCCGTCCAAACTCGTGCTCATGCCTGTTAAAACAATAGAGGCGCACCCCTCAAGACGGACGTGCGCCGATGCAACATCCAATATTATCGTGGTTTCGGCCGTTGATATGCATGACTCCGCTCACTTGCTTCGCCGAATTCAGAAGCGGTGCTGGCGACCGACGCTCTCGACCCGTACGCCGAGCTTGACCATCTCGCGCGAGTCGATGACGCCCCGGCCGTCAAACACCCACCGCGGCTTGGCCATGGAGCTGGCAATGCGCACCCAGTCGATGCGCTCCTTGGGCTTGTACTCCTCCGCGCTGCCCATGCCCGTAGCGTCGCCCGTCTTCTCGCTCTCGCGCTCCGTGATGCAGTCGGGGCAGTCTGCCTCGCAGCTGGGCTCGACGTTGAACCTGTCCAGTGGGTCGGGCGACGTCTCTGTCGCACGCTGCACCAGATGCTTGTGCAGGGCCAGCAGCTCGTTCTCCGTCGGCGTCGAGGCCGTGAACGGCCGCGGGTCCGACTTGGGGTTCGGCTTGCGCCCAATCATCTTGGGTGCCGCCTCCGGGACCGGCGCGGGCGCAGGCTTGGGAGCGGGCTGGTTCCGGAACTCGTCAAACTCGGTGGCGATGACGACGGCCGTGCTGCCCTCGCAGGCGTCGAACGCGTTGCTGTAGACGTGGACGCGTTGGCTGACCTCGGCGCCGAGCAGGGCCAGGATCTCATTCTTGACGACCAGCGGGTTGCAGCACGGGTCGAACACGGCCACCTCCCTGGGTCGCTCCTCCAGCAGCGTCTTGATCATCTCCAGAGCGGGCGCCTCGCGCGTGTCTGACGTGTTCTTCTTGAAGGCATAGCCGAGGATCGTGATCTTCTTGCCGACCAGGGTGTTGTTGAGGCACTTGATGACGCGGTTGGTGAAGCGGTCACGCGCGTACTCGTTCATCTTGACGACCTGCCGCCAGTACTCGCCCACCTCGGGCAGGCCCATGGTGTCGGCCAGGTAGACCAAGTTCAAGACATCCTTCTTGAAGCAGCTGCCGCCGAAGCCGATACCGGCCATGAGGAACTTGTTGCCGATTCGCGGGTCGACACCGATTGCTTTGGCCACCTCGTCCACGTCGGCGCCAGTCTGCTCGCAAACGGCCGAGATGGAGTTGATGCTGGAGATGCGCTGCGCCAACATCGAGTTGGCGACGAGCTTGGCGAGCTCAGAGGACCAAACGTTGGTGGTCAGGATGCGCTCGCGCGGAACCCACGCGGCGTAGACGCCGACCAGCGCCTCGGCGGCCTTCTTGCCTGACGGTGTAGGCGCAGAGCCGATGAGGATGCGGTCGGGGTATAGCAGGTCGTTGACGGCCGTGCCGGCAGCCAGGAACTCGGGGTTGGACAGGATCTCGAAGTGGACGCCGGGTCTGTGCATGGAGAGCTGCAGCGAAAGATTAGCAAGGCGTTTAGCTAGGTTTCCGTGTCGGGCCACGTACAGTATCGGCGACGAGCTGGGCCGTCCGGCAGGGGACGGTGCTCTTCTCGACGATGATGGCACCCTCGCGCGCGTACTGAGCAACGACGCCCGTGACGGCCTCGAAGGCGGTCATGTCGGTGGCGCTGCCAGCGCCGACACCACGCTCCTTGGTGGGGGTGTTGACGGCGACGAGGACGACGTCGGCCTCGGCGATGCTCTTGGCGACATCGGTGGTGAAGAAGAGGTTGCCGGGGCGGGACGGGACGACGGTCTCGCCTTCGTCGGACGATGAGCCCTCGCCGTCGGAGGTGGGCCCGTTGGAGAAGGACGTCTCGCGGCTGCCATCGCGGGCAATGCGCACGATGTCGTGGAGGCCGGGCTCGTAGATGGGAGGGTGGCGCGAGTTCCAGCGACGGATGCGGGTTGTGTCTCTATCGACGACCGTCACCTTGATGTGCGGGTTCTGGAAGGCAATGACGGCGGCAGTCGGGCCACCTGCAGGACAGCAGTCAGTTAATTGCCCATTGTCTGCGCATTGCGCCGTTGGGAAGGGGTGGGAGGCGGCGTGCGCTGATCGCGGGGCGGCGAGACAAGCGCAGTCCGAGCCCGAGACAGGGACGCGGCGTTGAGGAAGAAGCTGTGGAACGTACCGACATAACCGGCGCCGACGCAGCAGATGGTGCGGACCTTGACGTCGCCATTGAAGGTGCCGTTGGTGTGTTCCGACGAGCCGTTGAGGCCGAGCTTGGAGACGGAGTCGACGACGGCCTCGGGAAGTGAAGGCATTGCGACGTCGGTGGAGGGGCTCCCTAATAAAAGCAGCGGACAACAAGCGAGCACAGCGGCCGTAAGGGGGCGTGGCGCAGCAACAGTGACTGCGCAGCGACCTGCAGCTGTGGGATCCAATCCAAGAGGGACGGCGGCGGCGTATTAAGTAGGATGCTGAAGCAGTCGCAGGAACGAGTGAATGCCGCAACGATGGAACTGGTCAGCGCCGTCTCGCGGGTTACCAGGAAAGAAGGAGAGGAAGAAGGGAGAAAAGGAAAAAAGTCTAGCTGCCGGTTGGGAGGACGGAAAAGGGGCGCGCCTCGGGAAGCGTGAGGTTGATCAGCCAGCCAGACCAGACAGACAGCCAAGAAGCCGGCCAGAGGAGGCGGCACGGGGCGGGAGGCGTTGACCTGACTGCCCGCCCGGGATCTGACGTCGACCTAGGTAGGGCCTGGCGGGCGGGCTGCACCACCCGACTGCCGCTACCAGCACGCCTACATAGGTACGGGCTGCCCGTTCATACAGTGCAGCGTGCAGCAGCCCTGACGAGAGAGTCTCTACAGCGGGTCGACGCCCCGTGGGATGGATGCGCCCGGAGCAGTCGGGCCCGACCACGCCGCACGCCGCCGCGCTGAAGGTGTGGAAATTACGGGGCAGCGGTGAGCGCTGCCGCTGGGAGGCGCGGGTGCCAAGACGACCACCTGGCACTGCCAATCTCTATAGCACCGTGGCGCGGAAAAGTATACCTAGCATCCTAGGTCACCTTGGCTGCACGCCGCGCTGGAAGGGGCATGCCAATGAACCTAACCTTGCGCTTGCAAACAGGTACCCACGAGAGGGGAATGCGTTACAGACGCTCATGATTCCATCCGTCTGCGTATAATCCACTTGCACGCTCCGTCGCTTTGCGAGGTGAGGGAGGCACGGACCGCGAGGTACCTGCAGCCGCGGGACAGCAACATCTCACCTCGCGTCTGGCTCATCCTGTGCCGTGTGTCTGCGCAAGCACTGCCGACAGGTTGATTCGCATCATGCTACCAGGTACCAACGCACGGTGCGTGCGGGAACGCAACGCCAAGTTGCCCACTGTCTGGCCGCTGCTGTCGTCGACATCGTAGGGGGACCAGCCAGCGCTGCGAAGTGGACGCAACTGGGCCCCCGGGCGCCTCCAGACGCACCCGACGGGGTCGCCTTCAGCGGGTGGACCCCCGTGGGCCCCCCCAAGCCGCTAGAATGGGCGCCCAGGCCAGGACCGGCGGGAGTGGGTGGCAGCAGCCAGGGGCGGACTCGGCGTTGCCTCCATCACCCGGCGCCGACAGCGGCAAGCCCGGCCACGGCGAGGGCTGCGCGCCGGTTGGTTGGCCGGACGGATGCGCCCAAGGCAGCCGACCGCACACACCGTCCAGAGCAGAAGCATCCAAGCTTCCAGGGCGGGCAGGCGGGCAGGCGGGCCACGCAGCCCCCTCGACGAGGGATGTCCTCGATGCGCCCCAAACAAGGCAGCTGGGATCACACGTTCTGGTCGCACGGCGGAGACGATCAGAAGATCACTCGCGTGCGGGACCTTTTTGCTCTCTTTCTCATATCGCAGAGCCCTGACGGGAAAGCCGTCGTATCCGGCGCTCGCCCCCAACTGCCCTGGCCTGCCCTGCCCAGTTGTGTGTTGCTAAGAATAATATGCGCGCGCCGCCGCCGTCGCCGCCGCCGCCGCCGATGAGATTTGATGGTGAACGCGTAAGTCGGTCGCATTCTGCGTCGGCGACGGCGCTCAGGCCAGGCCAGCCACAGGGGGGGCCCGGTCCACTGAAATTCATCCCGGGTGTGGGGGACGACGACGCCTCCCACGCGACTCATCGGATAGGGCCAACAGCATAACTCGCATGCGTCCCTCTCGAGTTGTTTGTCTGGACGTCGGAGCAAAGCGGGGAGCCCAGAGCGAACCCCCCCTGGCTGCAGCATTCGTAACGTCGCCCTCAGCCGTGGCGGCTGAACTGCCATCAGGACATATGCCAAGACCTGACGCCACGAAAACTCATGCCGAAGTGCCGGCAGCATTGGCAGGGCCAGGAACCCCAGGAGAACACATAGTTTCGCACTCATAGTGGTCGCTGGAATCGAGCAACGATCCTGAGCCACATGAAGCCGTATGTGTAATCCCGCACCAGGTACAGGGCATCTACGGTCCCGTCCTGCACTGTGCCGTAATAATAATAATCATTCATCATGTCAGACGACTGCCTGCCTTCCTCAGAACGTCAGGACATGGCCCGGCAATAAGGCCGAAACCATTCCGCTCCACAACGACGCCCTTCATCCGCCAGCGCCGGCCGGCGAGACTTTTCGCCCTGCTCTCCCTCCTCCCACTCACTGCTTGTCTGCATCCATCCACCAAGAGCCAGAAGCGGTCCACTGACCGCTAGAAGCCAACTAGGGAGGATGGGGAGGGTTCGTAGCGCCGCGCGAGCCCGCGACCCTGCTTATCGGGATCGGCGACGATTGGTGAAGCAGAGTTTGCCCAGCATCCCACGGCCAGTTGCGAATCCCGGCCGCGGGCATCATCGCGCGCCATTCGCTTGGCGCTCATTTGCCATGCTTACACGAGGCCACCTCGCGCGCGGAAGTCGAAGCGGACGAACCACAATGGCCAACAGCGTCTGGATCACGTATGGGAGGATCATGGATGGAGGATCCTGATCCGCCGATCACGATTGTGGACGTGGGTGCGCTCGTCTCGTCAAGGCTCTCACGCGCTCCATGATACGACGACGTGCGCAGTCGCCATCGCAGACGCAGCAACTTTGGTACAGCACTGATTAACCGTAATTATAGGGCGTCCCACATGGTCGCCCAGCTCCGCACTCCGCATCCGATCGGGTGGTGTCGCGGCGCGCTGTCAGGGAAGCCTCCCCGTGACCGTGACAGTCAGTGGTCGTCAACCGACACACTCTGCACAGCATTCCGCTGCGCCAGCGATGAGGCTCAGCGCAACGGCATGGCGCATGCGCCACACTCATCCGAGTGGCATTCTTTCGCGGGAATCCAGCCGTCCTACGATGCGTCGAATGGCAAGAGACTCTCGTGGACCGTCGTTCCTGCCTCTGTTGGTAGATTGCTCCGAAATTCGATTTTGTTGAGGAAGGTGCCAGGCAGGTGAAACCTCGACCCCCGCCAGCCCCTCCTTCATCGCAGTCACTTCTTTTGCTTCCCGACATTCTTGCCCTGTCTGTCGACTGCGACAAAACCTAGCGGTACCTCGCACGGACGAGCACGATCGAGCTCTCGAGCGCACACAGCAAGCGCTGGCCCGCATGAAGACGATGTCTCTGTCGTGGCCCGGTCCCGCAATGCCGTTGGGTGCCGACGTCTCGGCGCTGGCGGCTGGAGGCAATCACACCTCGCATCCACGCGGCAGTCCTCAATGGCGACTGATGTGGCCATTGCCGGGACAAGAAGACCAATCGCCCGAGTCGCATGCCGAATTGGCTCGGTGTCGGAGCCGGATCAGGACGAGGGCGCCCGCCTGTGCCCCTCCTCCAAGTCTCGAACGGACAGCTGTTTGCGGTGTCACGAGGCACCCGCCGCCGCACATGTGGCGGCACAGGTCATGCACTGACTCTTTCCGCTCTGTCCTGCGCGAGATCCGAACGACGGCTGGTCGTCCAACCAGGGCGACCACGGGGGAACACAGATCGAAGCCCATTCGCGACGCGGTTCGACACTTGGTGTGAAGAGCCGCAAACCCGTCGAGTGACGTCGATTGGCGAATGGGGCACCTGCCTCGATCCTAGCCTGTGATTGGCGCGTCGCCGATTGATACACCTCCGCCCACTTACACGTTTGCTGCCCAGATGCGCCGTGATCGAAGTTCGACTCCGCGACTTTTAGACACACTCTACAACGAAGCCGATGCGATGCTGCCCTGTGCTGTACAGTGCGACAGTATTCTCATCCGCAAACAGTACTACCGAAAGAATGACTCGGCGGATGACTGTTGGCATCACGCCGCGAGTGCTCCGCCGTTCGAGGCCGCAGGGGATATCGTCGGTTTTAACCATCAAGGAGTCATAGCGCTACGACGATGCTGCCTCAAAGTTCACCACGACATCAGCCTTGTCACTACCCTGCCTACAACTTTGCCCCTCCTCCGGCCAGTGCCGCATCCCCGAGATCCTTCACGCACCCCGCTGAACCCTGGCTGCATCTGCCGACGAACGGCGGCCAACCCCCGAACCCCGTGCCCACCATGGTCGTCCCCATTGAAGCCGCTTCGGCCGCAATGGCGAACTACTATGCGCCGCTGCTGAATCGTAGATCTAGACGCCTCAGCTACTCGCTCCAGCCACGTGCGTTCCGTCACTTGACGTCGCACAAGCGAGGTGAGGCAAAGAAAAGCAGGTCGCGCCACGGTCGCGACAGACGCTGAAATGTTGAGCAAACCAACGCGCTTTTCGTTGCGACTTCTTTGCTTCTCAATCGACTCCTCGCGCTGTACGCGACTACCTTTAACGCGGGAGCCATGTCGACAAAACCGCTTCTGGACGGCTGTAAGCCGTATCCCGAGCACGACCTCTCGCAATTTCCCGTCTCGCTGAAGGGAAAGCGCATCTTGCTCTGCACTGAATCTTTCGGGCCTGTAAATGGAGTCAGCCGAACGACTCTGATGCTTGTGACGCACCTGCGGGAGCATGGCGCGCAGGTTGCCGTCGTTGCGCCTCACAACCACACGAAGCACAACACATTCTCACCCCCGCCATCTCCCAACTTGGGTCCCGCCGACAAGCAACCCGAAGTTCGAGTCACGGGATATCCGCTCCCGTTCAACCCGGAGCTGTCCATCGTCTATCCTGTGCGCAACTCGACCCTGTACTCGCGGACGTTTGGCGACGACTCACCTCCGGACCTAATCTACCTTGCGTCTCCGGCCAGCTTGGGCTTCCAGGTTATGCTTCAACTGAGGCAACAGCCCAAGGAAAACCAGATTCCAGTCATCTGCAACTTTCAAACCGACCTCGCTGGCTACTGCTCCATCTTGTTCCCCGCGCCTCTCAGTCACATTGCCGTCTTTGCCTTTGCCGCGGTCCAGAGCTACCTCTTCCGTCATCCCTCCGTCAAAACGATCTTCTATCCGTCGCGCTTCGTCAGGAGGTACCTCGTGAGCCAAAATGTTCAGGAGAAGAAGCTGGATCTCTTGACGCGAGGTGTCAACACACAACTTTTCAACCCCAACAGCCGAAGCGAGCAGCTGCGACGAGAGATTGCGCCAAATGGGGAGACCATATTCGTGACAGTGTCCCGCATCGCCGGCGAAAAGGGCTTCGACTTCCTCTCCAAAGTTGCCAAGGAAATGGACGCTCGTGGCTTGCCGTTCAAGTTCTACATCGTCGGCGGGAACAGGAATGCGGACGTGGAAAAGGAAGTGCAGGAGCTGTTCGACCCGCTTCGAGAGCAGGGCAAGGTGGTCTTTGCCGGCTTCAAGGTGGGCGAAGACCTCGCAACGGCCTATGCGAGCGGAGATGTTTTCCTCCACTGCTCCGTGACGGAGACCTTTGGCCTTGTCGTGCTGGAATCCATGGCTAGCGGCGTCCCTGTCGTTGCGCGAGACGAAGGTGGTCCGTCAGATATCGTCCAGCACGGCGAGACAGGCTTCCTCGTTCCGCCGAATGACCTGGACGGCTTCGTCGCCAAGGCTGTCAAGCTGGCGCAGGACTCACAGCTCAGGAATCGCATGGCGGCAGCGGCTCGCGCTGCTGCCTGCGAGGCCACCTGGGACAAGATCAACAACAAAGTCGCCTGGCGCATGGCGGACACCATCGCAGAGCGACAGCGTGAGCAGGGCGGCACTCCGCAGAGCGCCCAGGCCATGCCGGTGGTGGCACAACAGCTCGTTCCCATCTACGGCTGGCTGATGATGAACGGGGCGATGCGTGATGTCCTCATGCGGCGGATCGTTGACGCGCGGCTCATGGGCGGACTTGGCGTCATCATCTCATTCTGGGCGGTAACAGGCATCTACATGGTCTTCACCGAAATCTTGCTATGGACGAAGGGGCGGTTGAGGGCGGGGGAGCGCAGAGCTAGCGTTTCCGTCGCGTGAGGCATCAAGGCGGTTTGATCCAAGGTCGATATGACATTTGGCGTGGCGCATGGGGGCAACGGGAGGTTCAGAATTCGTGCCATTCAACACGACGGCAAGACATCTGGCCAGGGATCTCCTTATTCTGGTCGATTTTCATTTCAATTAGCATATGCGGTAAGAGGAGTATTGGCTTGGGGACAACTTTACACTGTCACTACGGACATGTGCACGATAATGACTTGGAGATACCCAAGAATGATATAACGGGACGATGAAGTTACATGAGATGATGAGAGTGCGTTTCAAACCGCATAGGTATCTGAACAAGGACAAGGGTGCCTGATACAACTTGTTTATGCAGCGCTTACAATGAGTGTCTAAAGCCTAGTAAATGGGTCTATAAGGGGTAACAGCGCGGAACAGATAAGAAGAGAAACGCAACAGATTTAGGCACCGAACAGTCGCTTGCGTTAAACATAATGCTCAGCTGTGTCAAGGCCCAAGATGCCATGCAACCCGCCTGCGGACCAAGCTGCCTTGCCAATACCCTCCGCAACGCCAACGACCCCGCAACCACCACATGCCCGACTCAAAACGTCGACGCCGACTTGCCCACGACCTGCAGCCTCCTCTTGTACATGTCCGCGTACGTGACGCGCTGCCACGTGCCGATGCCGTAGGCGGTGACGCCGAGCAGCAGCCAGATGGAGGTGATGACGAGGCCGATGGGGAAGACCATGAGCTGGGTGCCGGGGAGGATGAAGGCGGCGGTGCCGTTGCGCAGGGCGGCGAGCTGGTCGTCGACGGCGGCCTGCGCGGCCGAGTAGTCGGACAGGACGACCTGGGAGGCGAAGACGCCGGTGAGGAAGGAGGCCTCGTTGAGGGAGACGTTTGTGCTGATGGGGGCGCCGGTGCGGTCCGTGGCGGAGAGGGTGAAGGTGGGGAGGATGAGGGACTCGATGGTGGCCCTGGAAGTGTCGTCGTGTAAGTTTTCTTGCTAGGATTGATGTGGACAGACGCGTGTTTATGGGGGAGTAGAGACTTACATGGACATGTTCTGCTCCATGCGCGCCTTGTCGATCTGGCCGACAAAGAGGTACTTGCGGAGCAGCTTAGGCCCATCACCATTGGCGGCGGCGGCGGCGGCATCACGACCCTGATTCTGGTCTGCGCGCGGCGCGATGACGAGCCTGGTGCGGTTCGCGACAGCGCCGAGGCCCATGAGCTCGTCCGCGTTGACGGGGCTAACCGACGCGCCGCTGTACGAGACGCCCACAGAGATGTCCGTGGGCGCCACGCCGGCAAAGGCGTCGCGCGGCGCCGAGATGCGATACAGGCGCAGGTCGGCCTCGAAGACGCCCGTGGCGGTGTCGAGCGAGGGCAGGTTGTAGCACAGGCAGTTGCCCGAGGGGTTGGTGCTGCGGGTGAGGGCGGCGAGGGCGTCGACGCAGGCGGCGTCGGTGACGGCGTCCCAGGCGGTGGCGTTGATGGCACGGACGGTTAATACGTCGGAATTGTTGTTGTTGTTGCCGCCGTCGGTGGTCTTGTTGTCCGAGGCGGTTGTGACGGAGGTGGACGCATCTTGCGAGAGGAGGGTCCGTCGGAGGAGGACGCTCGGCGGGTGGGACTCGTACGGGAGGGAGAGGACGTCGTCGGCGCGGAGGAGGGTGTCGCTGGGGACGACGCGGGAGCGGGGGGACGTGCCGGCCAGGACGGCCGGGAGGGATGCCGTGATGGCGGCGGCGGCGGCGAGGGCGAGGCGCATCGTCAGGTTCGGGATAGGAGAGCGAGCGTCGTCTGGCGGGAGGATGGACGAAGTCAACGTCGACGCAGAGCGTTCTGTCTTCCTCCTCCACCTCCACCTCGTCTACCCTCTGCCGTGGCCCTTTGTGTCTGACGCAGGCACGAGAGTCGTGGAGCGAGTGATACTTGTCGTCCTGCTCGTGGCAAAACAAGGCGTATAAGTCGACTGCGGGCGGGGATACGTGCTCAGCAGACCATTGCAGCGTGGCGAGCGATCAACGAGGCACGACAAAGGCCGACTTAAAACCGGCCGGTACAGCGGACGGTGTCTTGCGAATTATGATATGAGCACACGCTCGCGGGGGGCGAAGCTGTGGTGAACGGCGTTCCCGACCGGCGGGTGGTAGTGAGCTGCCGCTGAACGAACGTCTTTCAAGCAGTGGCGGATGAACTGGGAGCGGCCGGAGAGTGAGCGGACGCACGGTGACCAGCACAGGCAGGCGGGTATTAGACAGGCAGCCAGGCAAAAAGAGGACCCGAGCAGCTCAAAATAGAGAGTGACAGAACAGAGTATTAAGTTTGGAGTGCATTGAATTACAAAGAGGAGAAGGAAAAGGAACTGGGCAAAGAGAGGAAGTGGGAAGCCAAGCCCGGTGAGCCGGTTAAGCGCCCTTGGAAGTCGGGACAGACATGGGGACTATCTGGGCCCAGCGGCGCTATGCACACTCGAAGGGGCCAAGCATTGCCTACGGACTAGGTTAGAAGCTACAAGTGTCGTACGAGCAAGCTACATGAGTTGACGGGGCCCGTATGCCCACCGGCCCCGGTACCGTAGCACGAGCGTGGTGGGCTGTGCTTGCTGCTTGACTTGTGCGGTGACAGTGGTGAAGTTCGTTGGCGCCCGCCGGGGGGGGGGGATGCGATGCATGGGCGTGGTTGGCGCGACGGGGCGGCCGGTGGTGGTAACGGGGGTGGAGACGGACGGAGGTGGACGGACGGACGGGGCGGGCACATGGACGCCTGGTGCAGACAGGAGACAGAGAGACAAGACAAGACAAGACAAGACAGGCAGAGTCAGGGGACGAGGACACGTCCAACGAGGGGGAGGGGTGTTTGTGGCGGTCGTCGTCTTTGCGACGGGGTGGCACGACAGTTTGGTGTTTCGGGGGTGCGAGAAAGCAAAGCCAGCCTGCGCTGCTGTAACACCAGGAGGAAAGGAAGCAGAGACGGCTGCAGTGCAAAGAGGCTGTTGTCGATGGGGGGGGATCGCGACGACGGGTGCTTCAAGGGGGCGCGGCGGGCACTCCTGAGTCCAGGCACCATCCAGCGCCGCCGCTGGAGCAAAACTCAGCCACTTAGTAGGTAGTTGGGCGGCGGTATAACTAACGTGTGGTTTCGGCCGCGGAGTGGTGAGACACGGCCGGCGAGGAGAGCGGAAAACGTGCGACTCGTTGTGTCTTCGAGCTTGTCTGAAGCCATGGCTGCCGCTGCTTCTTGCCATGCCTTCTGGGACTCTGCGCAGCGCAACGATGCAAACGTGTGCCCAGGCTCTGTGCGGCGGCGGTGCTTGTGACGCCCAGAGTCGATACCTAGACAGCCATCACCCTAACACTCGTATTGCAGAATTAGGACCTACGAGCAAACGAAAGCATCCGTGCGCGCGCAAACCATAACGCCCAGTCGTATGTCATGCCAGCTGCTCGCCGCCTCGATGCAGAAGTGCGGAACGGCAAGCGGCGGCGGACGGGGCAGGGGCCTGGGGGGGAGG